TCGCTGTTGTAAATTCAGTTTAAAGATACAGTCCATTTTAAGAAAACAACTTCACTGTTGTCACCTTTTTCTAACACTATTATTTATTTATTATTAAGTTTTCTTTTATATGATTTGACACATCACATTCTATTCATAAATACTCCCTGCCTGCTGACAACTGATTAATGCGAGAAAAAGTTGCTGAGCACTTTGTTATTTAGCTTTACATAATCTTTATACGTCCCGTTGGCGACAGACCTTTGTTTTAGATTAATTTCTTTTCATTATTTTTTACTTTTCTATTATTTTTGGAATTTTAGATTTTTCTATTGTTTTGTTTTTATATTGTTTCTTTGAAATATATTATTTTTTTAAGTTTTATTTGTGCAATACAAAAGTTGCGTGTGAAGTGATGTGAGTTTCATTGCAATAGTAGCCCTGCCCTGCTTCCTGATAGTCCACATCCATCGTTTTCACGTACCATATAAAAATATGATCACAACCAACATTAGTCAGCCGTGCAGTTTTAAATTATAACAGATTGGTCACCATTCGCTAAACGGCCTAGTCTATTAATTAAAAGTCTAATTCAGATAGTTGTCTGCAGCAAATATATGGCTGTGGACTTCAGAACGGCATAATCAATTGATTCATAAGTGACTTATCTAACTATTTGATCAGTGCAATAGGTACGCTAATGGTTTATATTTAAACCAATTGAATTGTACAAGAAAAAGGATTCGTAACATCAGTCATTCGAACTCATTAAATTAGGTACTTGATGGATATAGGTAGACATGATAATTATGATGATGATGATAATGAAAGAAAAGTAATTAAGGCACCGCAGTATAATTTTAAAAGAAATACCCGTCTATTTTTACTTACTCAATGTTTACAGGAAAACTATGGCAAAACTTGTTTACCTACAGGAAAATACTACGAAATTTATCGATAGCTACAAAGCCTTTTTTCTTTCAAAATGTTACTTTCAGTGGCATCGGCGGCATGGCGGCCTTTATTTATTTAAAATCTTTATTGCACTCACTTAATATAATTATAGCGTTACAACATGCGAGCTTACTGCCATGTGGCATTCTCTTCCAGCTAACCAAAAAGTTAGGCAAAACAGAGAATTAGAGTAGGTAATGCAAAATAGTACAAATACATAAAATATATACTTATAAGTATAATACATAAAATATAATAGTATAAGTATATGAATAAATAAAAAATATATATATATATATTTTTAAAAGATTATTAGCAATTCGTATTGCTCAAATTACTAATAGTCCCATTCGCCTCTCGTGTTAAGCTAAATAAGCTTGTGTTACGAGTGGTCTCACCACAATAGGATCAAGACGACGGGATACTTTCAAGGAAATGCTTGCGCACAGAGTATTTGAAATTTGCCTGCCTAATGTTCTCGGAAAGAGCGTTCCAAAGGCGAATAGAATATTAAGGAATGAGTTAGAGAGGAAACCAGTGCGGTGGGATGGAGTAGCAAGAAGAAGTTTGTTGGAGGAACGAAGTTGCCGTACGTGAGTTGAAGTTGAGTATACTGAGATTTCAGATAGGAAGGAGCATTAGGGTCGTTTAAGATAGTAAAAAGTGTAGTGAGAATTCTGGCATTACGCCTTAAAGGAACAAGTAGCCATTTGAGCTTAGACCGGTAGGAGGAGTTGAAGGAGGAGAACTTGGTTAAGGTCCGGATAACACACCTCAGCATAATATATGAGCAGGAAAATTAGGGCGTGGACAAGTAAAACCTTAGTTTTGTCAGGAAGGAAATATTTTAATCTGCAAAGAGAACGCAATGTAGCAGTGACCCTACGACTAATCTCCGAGACCTGATTCGTCCAGCCAAGAGTAGAGTCAAGGTATAGGTCAAGAAGTTGAAGATCGTCAACAAACAGATGGTGAGATGAGTCAATACCGAAGGTGATGGAATTGATGAAATTAGAGAAAAGGAGAGGGGAAAGTATACCACCCTGCGGAACACCAGTAACGAGGTCACGCCAGTGGGAAATATTTTCATCTATGCGTACGGCCTGTTGGCGACCGCAGAGGTAGGAAGCGAACCAATCCATGACAACTGGTGACATTATTGTATCTGGATAACAACGATAGGAGGACTTCATGGTCAACTGTGTTAAAAGCATTGGAGAAATCAATGAGTGAGTACATACAAGCAATGTTAGTTGGCCATGTTCATTCCCATTTTGATGTCTTGCTAATATTCAATTAAGAAATCCAGAGTGAATTATATTCGGAAATTGAGTGATGCAATGAAAGAAATGTACGGATGTACGGTTATTTTATGATAGGCTAAGTATCGAAGTACATAAGCATGTAAACTATTGTTATGAGATCTTGGCATCGAGAAACGTGGCCAAGGTTATCGATCTAATTAGCTTCAATCTTCAGACAAGTAGAGAACATCAAAATCAAAGCACTTTCGCTCTACATGGATTCGCTTTATCTGAACAATCCTGTGCCGCCGCCTAGTAGATGACGAACCATTAATTACTACAACCTAAAAATCCATTGAGCCAGAACGTAGTGTAAATTTAAATCAATCGGATATTGATGCAAATCACTTTACACCACAAATATACAAAATTGATAGAGATTCTTCTAAATAGCAGACCTGCTTAAGCACAATTTTACCTCTCTAACTTAAAGTATGAATGCTTCTCGTAACTCGAGATGGTTGTTCTTAAAGTAGACAATAATTACGTGAAACCGGTTTCTGGGCATTTTACTTTAATTTTCATCTTTTATGTTTAAGTGTTTTTTAATATTGTTATAAAAAGCTATAGAAAACATTAAATTTTTTTTAAAATTGGTATCTGTAAAAATATTGTTATTTTTGTAACGAAAACGGACGACCTTTAGGACGAGCTGTCTTTGAAGATTAAATTCTAATTGAATAAGTAAAAACTAATTAAACATTTCATACGTAAAAGTAAGTCCTTGAAATCAAATTTCAAATAAAAAAGAATGATGAACAACACAGCTGTTATATGAATGAAAGTATATGCTATTGAATATTGAACAAAAAACTCTAAGGATAAAAAAGATAATAATATGATTGTTAAAAAATAAATAAACTAAGTATCTTAAAGTTGGTGTATTTAAATCAGTTTCAGCTAGGAATGACAACTTCTCAAAATGACAACCGGGGCGCAAAATGTCCACTTCTCGTAATGACAACTTCTTAAAATGTCAACTTCGCTAAAAGACAACTTCTCATAATGTCTATTTCTCACAATGACAAATTCGCATTTGGTCTACTTTGCATAATGTCAACTACTTGTTGATATTTTATTTTCATTATTTCTAGAGTTCTAGTTCTTCTAGAGTTGTCATTATGTGAAGTTGACCAAATGCGAATTTGTCATTGTGAGAAATAGACATTATGAGAAGTTGTCTTTTAGCGAAGTTGACATTTTAAGAAGTTGTCATTTCGAGAAGTGGACATTTTGCGCCTCGGTTGTCATTTTGAGAAGTTGTCATTCCGAGCTGAAACGTTTAAATCTAACTCAAACATCTAATCTCTTTATTCAACATCAGTAATTTTGTAACGTATGTACCATTTCCCCGGTGAATTATCAGTATAAAAAATTCAACAAATTACTCTATCATGCGTCGATCACACTCCACGGGGTGATATATCGACGGTCACTACGTATATAAACGTATCTGAAAACAGTCAATTTTACAGGAGAGCGGTTTGAAGGTTTAAACATGTGTAGCTCGCGTTCTATTTATCATACATTGATGAAATTTGGTATGATAGTTTTATATGAGGTATATTTTATAAAACATGAAGAATTATCAAAAAATAATCACAATAAGTGTATTATTTGTCATTTACTCACTTATACAACGGAAAGTTTCTAATTAAAAATTACGTAAGTGGTACTTACTAACTTTTACGTCGGAGTAATATATTTGTTTAAATTATTAACTGCCACATAAGTAGTTGTACACGGAAACAAAGTTCAGCTACTATTGACAGTAACTCTCTGTACGAGTCAACTCGCACATTTTTATTGCTAATTAATTTATTATTAACTTGCATTTTATATATGCACTTTGGCCAGCTATGCCTGACCTACATTTGGGACTTTGGTAGTTCTAACATTTTTATAATCAGTGCAATAAAGCATTCGGCAGCTAATACACGTCTTTCAATAAATCCCATCAGCGGTTGATACGGTGTAGTTGTCTCACATCTTGACATCAGTCTTACTTTGACACCACATCTTACACTCTCACTCTAGGCCCATAGTCCTGCTTGACGAGGCATAACAACGTCCCGCCTCGTTTCCAAGATAGTTGCATTTTGGAGGCACTCCAAGATAATTCTTCCTNTTTGTCTAAACAGTCTACAATAAGTTCCAAAATAGCTTGACCACTTACGTCGTTGGTGGAGACGAACCACTATCTTAGTTCAAGACAGTATGTCTAAAATGCTACTTATGCTACACAGAAGTTTATAATCTAAACAGTCTACAATAAGTTCCAAAATAGCTTGAACACTTACATCGTGTGTGGAGACGAACCACTATCTCAGTTCAAGACAGCATGTCTAAAACGTTACACAGAAGTCTACAATCCAAACAGTTTACAATAAGTTCCACAATAGCTTGACACTTACGTCGTTGGTGGAGATGAACCAGGCCATCTCTGTACTGGAGGCGAGCTGGCCTTACACAGAAGTCTATGATCTAAACAGTCTACAATAAGTTCCAAAATAGCTTGACACTTACGTCGTTGGTGGAGACGAACCACTATCTCAGTTCAAGACAGCATGTCTAAAACGTTACACAGAAGTCTATAATCTAAACAGTCTACAATAAGTTCCAAAATAGCTTGACACTTACGTCGTTGGTGGAGACGAACCACTATCTTAGTTCAAGACAGTATGACTAAAATGCTACTTATGCTACACAGAAGTTTATAATCTAAACAGTTTACAATAAGTTCCAAAATAGCTTGACACTTACGTCGTTCGTTGAGACGAACCAGGCCATCTCTGTACTGGAGGCGAGCTGGCCGTTGACCAGGCACTTGATCTCGCTCTTCGTCCATCTGTTGTAGATGTACACCACCGCGATGGCGTACCACCTGCGAATAAAATTAAAGCGTCAGTAGTTGCAGGAGGTGCTATTTTAGAACAAAAACTTATAATCTAATGTGCTTTCGTCTATACAATCAAAAATAGCGCTACTAGGGTAGGTGTAAACCACAACTTTTAGCAAAGTATGAGACGTAATTTCACGTTAATATTTTGAACATACTCATGGCTCTTATTGTACAGTTTTAGGATTCATAACGTAAAATATCATTTAACCAAATCATTAAACTTACTTTAACAGAATGATAAGTGTATGAACATTTAAAAATATAACACATTATCTGATATTAACTACGGTCACTTGTTGATAAATTATCAATTATAACGGGATTTAGGCACAGCAGCACGTACGATTATCAAGAAAAAACTAAAGTAAATGCAGGTAAGTGTTTATTGGCAAACAAATCGATCTACCCTCTTTCAAATTCGTTTATTACATTCGACATTGGTACCATCATTCACAACTCACTTGTTACTCGCCCCTGTTTTCGACACACAACGCCCAATATAATCGATCGCATTTGGGCAATCTTAACTAACCATCATTCAAAAAATGGTTAACTGAGCTGATTTTATTATTAAATAATCCGTAAATTTTTAATTTTTGAGTGTTTACTCAAGTAAGAAACTATTTGTAGTTATGAGCTCATTTTGTTATTAAAAAATCCGTTAATTTTTAAATTTTTGAGTGTTTACTCAAGTGAGAAACTATTTGTAGTGATTTAAGGTACCAGTTTCAGTAGACAACGTTCGCCGTTCGTTTCGTTAGTCTCAGTGATTTACAAACTTAACTTTTGCAGTAAGCAGTGACTTAAAGTTTTGTGACAGTAACTCCTTAAAATGTTCAGTGTGCTTACCATGAGTTTATGTTAGGTGTGCTCGCAAGCGAGTGCGTCAAAAAAAATCTATGAAGATTTTAGTTCTTGAAAGTAGCCGCTAGGGGCGCTGTACAATCTGTACAAGTCGCTAGTGAGCACACCTAAAGCCGTATCTTCAGCGCGTGTTTTGCCCTACTACACAATCAACAAAAAACATGTCAACATTCAACATTTTTCGTAGTCAATTTTGTTGAATGTTGACATGTTTTTGTTGATTGTGTAGAGCAAAACACGCGCTGGAGATACGGCTTAACGCAAACTCATGGTAAGCACACGGTTCAGTGTGTTTACCATAAGTTTACATTAGGTGTGCTCGCTAGCGACTGCGTAAAAAAATGACATTAAATGTGTGACAGATGATTGTACAGCGCTCCTAGCGGCTACTTGCAAGAACAAAACTCTTCATAGACTTTTTTGACGCCTTCGCTAGCGAGCACACCTGATGTAAACTCATGGTAAGCATACTGTTTAGTGACTGACCTCCTGGGCTGGAACTCGTATTTGACGCAGTGCTGGAAGCCCTTCCCCCGGACCTTCATGGACGTCAGCACCAGGCAGTTGCCCACGAAGTGTGCCGTGTAGCCCACGCCTTTGCTCGTCTTGAAGCTGTGAGAAAAAACATTCTAGTTAGTCGAACAATAAAACGCATCTCATTCGAGAATAGCACAAATCAAAACGGCTTCGACGAGCCAATTACAAACAAGCAAAACCTCGGACAGACAGATAGACATGACGAAACTATACGGGTTCCTTGTCAGGACTCCGGAACCCTAAAAAGAAGACAATAATCAGGAAATAACTGTTGGAGACTTAGGCTGGGTTGCACCATTTTACTTGCACTTTGACAAACGTCAAAAACTGTCAAACTTACATTGGCGGAACAGTGTGCCCCCAGTGGCGAAAAAACACAAGTCCATCGCCATCAGCAAATGAAGACGAAGAAGAAACACATAGTTACTTTTAAAGTTAGGTAGTGCAACTCGGCCTTAAATTCCTAACATAACTAGAACAGTTATTTGTTAATTAATTTTCCATTTGAAAATTCATTCCTCAGTTGGGATTCAAAACAACAACCTTTCGTGGCAAGAGTTCTAATTAAATTAATAATTTCTCCAATAACCTAAATTAAAGGCCTAATATTAACTATTGTAGAAGTTATCTAGGAAATTACTCATCAACCACTAACTTCTTTTCCCATGGGATGGAGAGACTACGAGTGTACTTACGATATTTACGCCCGTATTCACAAACGATGCTTGCTTAAGTGAAGCAGCAAATCGAACGCACAGCGTTGAATACAGCTCTGTTCTGGTTCTTGTGTCAGTCACCCTGTGCGTGCACGCGCACTGTGAGACCTCATAGTAATGATTGTGAATACGGGCGTTAGTCTTTTGGCTGAAGGCTAACAAAGTAACGTAGTATCCCTAGGAACATGATATGACTAACTTTAACACCAATTTTGCATACATTATTGCTGCTCTAATATGTTTTACAAACTGTTTTACAAAATGTATTCTATGCATTTAATGACACGATTATAACTTTAGATATGAAACCGGATTACATTAAACTTTATAACACGTCTGCAGGTCTGAAACATTGTTGTTTAATTACTTCTAAACTTGGAAATGGATCATACAATACATTTTACGTATACTGAAACACGGATTTAATATTGAGATATGACAAGTTTTACCTTTTATCAAAAGTAATGATGACAGTGTTCTGTGCAAGTTGTACAAAATAGGCTATTTCGTGTTTGGTGCATTTTTTTTTATAATTGTGATTCATAATACGTTCGAAAGTTTTATTTTAGAATAGAACTTCCTCAGTTAAAATAGACTAGAATAGACTGATAATCCGTAAAAAAAATGGCAAGCGCAAACTCTATGGAATTCAATTTAAAGCCACAGTGGGCTTTACCGTCGGTATTAATTACCAGGACCGCATAACCGGCAAACATACTTGTGCCCACTCCAATCAATGAAAAGGTATCCATATCGATGCTGCCGAGTACCGATGGACGAGCGATACGAATACGAGTATTCGATTTCGGCTTTAACACACAGATGGATTCGGATACAAAGTGAATTGTTGTCGGAATGTCGGCACATTAGTAAATTGAAACGGGTGGAACGCTTTCGTTGATTTGTGGGTCGTTTTAATTTGCATTGTTGGGGGTAGAAATGAAGTGTGTTTTGATATGTGTTATCGATCGAATGTCAGTGAGATGAGCGTGTTATCTGCCTCGAATGTCAATGACATAAGAGTGTTATCAGCTTTTTGATTTGTTTTATTACATCGTCAATATCTTTATCTTTTGATATTTACATGCCAAGAAGAGGGTTAGAGTGAGACTCGACCCAAGCAGTGCCAAAAATACAATTGTCTTTTTGTTATATCCAGCTACTGCACGCTATCTTCTTCTTTAGGTAGTTGCTCCTTCAAGCCGGTAGATAAGTGTTCTTCTTCTTCTGTACCAGTGGCGTATCGGTAGGGAACTACAATAATCTACTCCTTTGTCAATTAGCACTGTTATTTGTCATCTATAAGATGGGGACCAGTGACTCGGTTGCCCTCAGTGGTTATGGTGCTTCGAGCCCTGATAGGATAGCCCTTGATGAAAGGTGAAGTTTTATCAGTTCTGCAACAGCAAGCTATTTGCCATTTGAGGTAGCTACGGCTTCTCTCGCTTAAATTTGACCGAGTTAAAATCACAGTGGACGTCTTATTGTTTGCCTATGGTCTATTTTACTTCACTTTTAGCTTCTTCTTGTTTAGTTCTTCGTCAGAGAGCTACAAAACTTACCAGTAGAGGTAAGGCTTCTCTCGCTCGATGTTGACCGAGTTGATGGGGTCGAGCCGAAACCACGTGGTGAACGTGAAGCCGTTCTCGTAGGGCCACCGCGCCAGTGGGGGCAGCACCACCGCCTGCAAAAATTGAATAAATTAGTACAACATATATTATGGTATTATGGAAATGAAGATTCATTAGTCTTAGGCCCAGAACACACGGTGAAACGCAATTGCAACGAAACTGCAACTTCTAGTTACTTATGAGTTGCATCTAAGTTTCTGCCATAGATTCCGTTGAGAGACCACACATGACGCAACCAGTTTGAAACCGGTTTGAAATGTGTGTTCTGGTCCTTAGAAGAAATTGTCTTAGCACTAAAAAAGTACACGATTTATCGTTCTATGTAGTTACGTTATAGAATATAAAGGTGCTGTAACAAATTATTTATCAATGCCCTATGCTATGATACGTCAAAAACATTTGATGATTATTTAGCAGTGGGTAATAGAATTTTGACAAACAAAATTTTTAGAAGCCCTTTATTATTTCTTGCCTGTGCATAAAACCTTTGGATGGCGTTATTCATCTACCTATAGATTTAATAGATAAACCGGTCCTACTAAACCGGTAAAACTTTGGAAAAAAATGTTTCGTTAATGCGACGTGCATTAAGGAAAAATTTCGAAATAAATTCTTAATTCTTAAATGAATACCCTGGGGGTGCACTTAGGAAGGATTTTGGAAAATTCTTTCCTAAATAAAAAATAAAGTTTGTTGAAAGAAGTTTTTAACATAAATCCCGTTTTAGAAGGAATTACAAAAACTTCAATTTTGCAACATTTTATTGAGTACTAAACCAATGGGAACATAATTCCCATTTCATACGGCCCATAATTCGTTCCATATCTCAAGCGGGCGACAGTGGCCAGCCTAACATCAGTTTTATTTCGTCGCAAATTTATGTAACCCTGGTGCTCCACTCTTGTTTATCGCCAGCCATTTTGTAAAATGTGACCAAATACATTTTCTTGATCCGTTTAACGGGGCAAAAGTAGAAAACCTCGCAAACGGTTAAATACAAACTTTCCTTCGACTGTTTCTAAATTAGAAAGTAGTTTGCTGAGCGCGCCCGCTTGAGCGAGCTTCAATTACTTATTGCTACTTATTTTAGAAAAGCAGGAGCAATTCAATTGGCTTTAACGAGACAACTTCACTCAAAGAACGTATTAAAACTCTAAAGTAATCTATTGACAGACAAGTCTCTGCTTCTGGCCCCGCCAGCCTTTTAACGAAAATATTTGATCACGCATTATACTCAAGAAAAAGCTGTACAGAAAAACTAATTTTATTTTTTGCAAGTAGGCTTTTAATCCTTCAAGCTCCGCGAATCTACACACAATAGATAATCAATTGTTATGACATTAATTAATGCCCGTCTGGGACTCAATCGGTTAAAAAGCACTTTAGTTTTGTACGCATACTCATACTGTGTAGGCAATGATCTTAGGTAGTATGGAAAGAGAAGATACCTACTCGTTTCTCCAAACAAATTAATTAATTTAGATCGTTGTCCTAACATTAAGGCGATTAGTGTCCTCAATCCGCGCCAAATGGGCATTTTGTAAAGCCTACTCCTCTTTTACTGCTGGACAGAAATAGTTGAAAAAAATATATGTTATACAACAGTTCAAGGACTACATTTGTGACGTTTGAATTTTCGCTAAGTCTCTTTGTTTTGGATTAAAAAAATAAATACGGGACATCGATTTTTTACTTAAATTCCCTACTCCTCCAAAACGGCTATGTTAATTTAAAAGATTTTTGCACGAATAGATTGGGAATTCTTTAATCTTTAAATGACACGTTGCGTTTTTCAATCGAACATTACTTTCATTCATAAATTTTACTTTTGATAAATTCCGAACGTTTTGCTGTTGAGGGGGCCTTCGCGGGGTGCGGGCGGCAGTCGGCCGCTGGCCTTCAGACGGGGAGGTTGTGTCACTCGCTACAAACTGACATTAGCGATCAAAATGAGGTATCCTTCCGTTTGGCCAAATTACTTTTCGCCAAATTTCACTTCGCAAACAACTTATCGCCAAAGTTTCATTTCCCAAATTAACTTTTAGCAACTGTACTTTTCGCAACTAATTCATTTGGTCAAATTATCATTTGGCAAAATTTTACTTGGCAAATGTTTATATAGCAAATGTTTTATTTTGCCAAATATCATATCCCAAATAATTTGTTTGGTCAAATTGACACTTCACATACTTACCCACCGTTACCCACAAATCAAAGCATAAGGTAGATCACGGTTTTCACAATAATTTTATGTAAAACAAAGAGATTGCAGAAAATAGTATGGTTGCAGAAAGTAGGTATTGCAGAAAATAGTAGGTTAGGTTAGGTTAGAACAGTGACCCTTAACGCGCGAAGGCGAGCGAAGCGTGCCGCGGTAGCGGCCGCCGAGCGCTAGAATCACATCTATTGTTAAAGAATCATTTGAAAATTTCGATAAAGTGTGTGCAATAGAGTCTTTAAATAAATAAATAAAAATAATGAAATATGAAAATAAATTTAGAAAAAATTTTATATTAACTACCCACTAAACAAAATAATAACCACAAGCTAATTTGTATTCCATTCTATGCACCAATCAAATTATTTTGTAAATAGTTTATCGTGAAATATTTTTGCCAAATGAAACATTTGGCAAAACATACTTTGCCAAACAATAATTTGCTAAACAATAATATGCCAAAAACGACATTTGCCAATTAAAAGTTTGCAATAAGTTGTAATTGCCAAATGAGAATTTGCCAAATGAAAATTTGCTAAACGTTGTTTGCGATGTGATAATTTGGGAAACGTTTTTTGGCCAAACATTAGTAATCCCAGATTGTTAGTGTTAATCAATATTTTCAACTCAATTAAAAATTGAAATAAAGCGCGAGTCATTTTGTTTTAATAACAAGACAGTGTAGTGCTGCCCCTTGGTGCTAATGATGTGGTAGATAATGCAATTTATTAATTGCTGATCACCCTGTTTAAAATTAATGTTGTTTTAAAAAAAATATGTTAACTTTATTATGTACTTACATGTTAAAGTTTAAATTCCACAGTAACGCACTTAATCATACATCTATTAAAATAGTTTTACTGTTACGCAACGCCATCTATCAGCGAGTAGCGGTACTTAATTGCCGGTCTTATCGAAAGAGGTCGGGTTCTAATCGAGGCGAGCTTTTCGCAACACGCATGAGAATCACGTGCAATTACATACAATTACATCGTTGATAGTAAATCTAGTTGTAAATTGTGTGTTTAGTAAAAACAACATTAGCGCAATTTTTATTTAATTACACTGTACGCTGTAATGAATGATACTTTGCAATCTTTTAGTTTTTCACAATACAAGGGACACAATAATAGTTATCAATTTCTAAATGGCGGGAACAACATCAACATTGCGCATTGGCCCGTTTGTAATCTTTGCAGTCAAAAAAAAGCTGAAAGGAAAAGAAGCTGTGGTTCATTACAAGGAATTAATAAAAAAGTAAGTAATAAAAACTATTTAGGTACCTATCACAATTTAAAATCAATTTGCGTGTCCGACACGGTCAAAAATCCGATGCGCTCGTGAAATATGTGACCGAATTAAGAAACACGGGCACCGAATAGACAAATATCATAATAATAGTGTAAAATCGACGACAACACCTTGAAATGGTCGTGGCGAACCGATTGACTCTACGATTCATGCTTTTTTATAGTTTTGATCTTTATTGCAAACACTCACGACTGTTTTTAGTGATTTGGTTTTATAATTCTGCAATATTGTTGCGAAAAACTCAGCGTGAACTTTCAACTCTTATTGCTCAGTGATAGGGGTCATTTTTAATTGATTTATGGTAATTGCAAGTAGGAAGCAAGTTCTTCCGTTTAGACTATAGCTGGTGGGAACGATGGTATCATTGTATGACGTGACCTTCCTTGGCTCATCAAGCGAAAGGCATGTGTTTATTTTTGTTGTAACGTAGTGGTAGATCCTTTGAACCCCACAGATTTATCTTTTTGAGTCGTATATGATGTAAAAACGGGAAGAAAAGCCCTATTAAGGCCCACCTAAACCATTGACTACCTACCTATTAAATAGGTACCTACTTTGACTATTTCTGCAGAAAAAAAACTCAAATAGGTTATTTTATATCCCCAAAAGGTATAAATAGTTACAAAAATCAGAATGAGAAAAATTATATGACATAGTAACGTACCAATAAATACCTATACCATATTTTATGTAACTTTTACCAATAAAGAAATTCATTTCTATTTTGTGCATAATCTCTGTAGATTTGTAGGGAGGCGTTTTTAATACATTTTAATGCAGTCCATACAGTTTTTCTCTGTTCATTTCGTAAGTTACATCATTATTACAGTTTTTCCATGTCACTGAGCACCGTGAAGGGCTCTAAAAATAAAATGATTACTCCTCTACTAATTGACCAATTTACGATCGAACTCTTTTTCTGACATTTGAGTAAAGGCAAAAAAGTCTATGTTTTTTAGAAAATTCCATTGTAAGTTTTTTACAATGTCATTGCTTGCTTGATCCAAGACTTTCTAAATTGTGTGATTTATTGTTATGGGTACTTGATTAAAATAACCAAACAAAACCGTAACAATTTTAATTAAATATTGTATTTTTTATCAAAAGAAGCAAAAAGCCAACATCACGCGGTGTTCCCAGGCGGTCACCCATCCAAGTACTGACCGCGCCCAACGTTGCTTAACTTCGGTGATCGGACGAGAACCGGTGTTTTCAACGTGGTATGGACGTTGGCGACAGAAGAAGCGAATTTTAACATCATTTACTTTGCTAAACATGACGTTTCACTTTCCCGCCAAGAAGTCTAGCGGTTTTTTCAATGTTGGCAAGCATGTTGGTGACTCCGAAGCAGAAGTTTCGTAAATGTTACCGACTCTCACAAATCCGAAACATCGATTGAGACACTATCGATTTACAATTTGCATGACGCGTAATCGAGTTGGCCAACATCGATTTGGGTTTTAATTACAATTTTCGAGTCACCTACTTTGCTTACAGGTGTGAGAAGTAAAAAATAAAGCCGTGAGAATGAATGGCAGGTGATTTCGCAAATTCAATGGTGAGTGTATAGAAATAGAGGCCATATTAGTGTGATAGAGAGTCAATGTCATTGATAATGATTATTCTACATAATAAATATACTATTACGATTGTGAGTAACGTGAAATAGCAATATTGATTGATGAATTCAGCGCACTATTTCATTGATTTTGAAATTGCATAGTAAGTATTTGGTTGGATATCGTAGGTTATTTGATTAATCATGTCAATTTTATAGTGATTGGGATGAATTAACTCTATCAATTTGTATTGATAACTAATTTAAGTTATAGAAAGAAAGGTATCGACGGTTTATATTCTGCAAGGACCATCGTAATTTGGACTTAACTCAACTTTTTTGGAACTTTTTGTTCTTACTGCAAAAAAAACACTTCGACTGCCTCAATTTGCTCAATGCGGTTGGCAGACAATAGGTAAGTTAGTTTATAGCTTCCCATAGACAGTTTCCCATAGTTATCCCAAGACTGCAAAGTGCAAGCAAACTGCAAAGAAACTGCGTCAGTCAGCTGTGAGAGCTAAGTTTAAACTAACTTAGTAACTTTTGTTAATGGCATAATACCTAGACTAAGAGCTGGTGAACGCCAGACCTATCTGACGAACTTCAGAACTAATTTCCTCATCAGCCAGATAGTTTTGACAGTTCTAACTCCTTGCCAGACAATATGTTTAAGGCCAAAGCCACGATGACCCAAACTTCATGATGCACCAACATTCGAATCTATACTGGGAGAATCCACTGACAAACTTTCAGCTTTTATAAAAATGACGTAGGTCTGGCGTTCCCTAGCTTAGTCTAATAAGCCTCATGCATAAAAAGTACAAGAGCCATTTCACAAAAATATTCCGCGCGAATTTAGGTAAAAGCTGTCAACGCAACGTCAAAAGAGTAAAAAGAACGCTGAAATGGACAAAAAAATCTTGAGCCGTGACCGTATTAAGAGTTGATTTAAGTTATTAATTTTAAGTTAGAATGAGGTATTCAAACTTGATTAATTAATTTAAATTTTTAATAGAGTTTATTAAGTCTTTTATATTTCGATTCATAATGAAACACGAATAGGTATAATATGTAAAATATATATTAAGTACAAAACAAAGACAGTCACACAGTGAAAAATAAATCTGCCCCCTTACAGCTCCATCATCGGACCCTGGATACAAAAAATGAAACACGAATAGGTATAATATGTAAAATATATTAAGTACAAAATAAAGACAGTCACATAGTGAAAAAAAATAATCTGCCCCCTTACAACTCCANCCCGAATTTTCAGTGCCGCCCTCGTAAATAAAATAAATTTTACGATTTTTTACTTACATCATGTATTATAAAGTAGCATAGGAGAAGAACTTGGTTGCGTTGAGTCTAATAAATGACCCTAGATACTTCAGTCGTATTGTATATCATATTTTATATTGTTTTGTCTTCACTTTTGTGTCCACCAAATATTGCTAAAATACAATTTCTCAGCGTAAAACACCGTTACTGGCACTAACTTATAGACATAAAACAAACTTTTCCAAAGTAAAACATTTTTAGTGGCAGTTACGGCTAGAATATTCTTGAATTTTCCGACGTAAAAATAAGTAAGTGCCACATACTTATAATAGTAACTTTAATTTTCCCGAGTAAAGCAACGCAACTATGTTATGCCTACAGTTAACCGATTAATTTACCGTTGGTTTAATGTTGACTGAAATAAATTAAGACAGAAATCATAATAATACCTATTTCCTTCATAAATTACGTATCAATTTACTCGATCTGCGCGGATGAAAGTGACAGTTGCGGGGCTGGGCGCGCGGACTAAGGCGTGCGGTCCAACGTAAAATTTCTTAACTCCCACTAATGCAATTTTACTGCGGAAATCGTTCTAATTTTGCAGTTGCGGGATTTGTTTTTTGACGTTTTAAGGTTCAATTTGAATAAAAACTGTATGTTTTTTTAACTGAGCCGAAACTGTTGGGTGCTCTGAAGGTTTTGCAAACAAAAACGGCAAATCACGGAACTGGTAGATACTGAACTATACGTAGGGACCGTCGATATTATCGTGTGTGCGTGTTGCGTGAAACCACTTTCTTTACAAATTTTCCTTGAAGACTTTAATTAAGAAATTAACGGCCTTTTTGTTTTGAATTCATTTCAACGAACGCCAACCAAAGCTATTTCCAATATTCTGTGGCTATCTCAATAAAAGTTTTGATTGAAAAACTGGTCCCACGCCATAAATCCTACGCTGAATTGACAGCAATTGCAGTAGCTTTTAAATTTTTATTGTTATTGATATTGAGAGGCGAAAGATATGCTAAAGACTGTTATGCGCTACTTGTTAATTGTGGGTTCTCATGCTGCAACTGAAAGGTCTAACCACGTCCCTAGACGGTACGAATAGCGAGTGCAGAACGTAATTAGTCTAACCAAGTCATTTAACTGATGCGTAAGTGTAATTAGTTGATGATGAAATCGCTATTAGTTCGGCGTGTGTTCAAACAGCGTTTGAGGTGTATGGAAGGCGGACGAGCGCTAGGGCGGACGGTAGGGCGCGGGCGAGGGCGGGCGCGGGCGACTGCCACCCGGCCCGCCGCCAGTCGACCGTAGGCGCGCGAACCGGAGACCGCTCCGACGCGCCCTCGCGATTTCACACACCGCAATTTAAAACATACCCTCTACATTACACACTCACATATTCACCACCAACAAATGAACATCACCATGAACACCCTATGAACTTTACGAGAGACGAACGATTCTAATCACCGGGTAAATGTATAAAACACCTGTTACTACACCGTATTTACCAACAAAATGTGCTACGAAGTTAAACTTGCTTAGCAACTGTTTAGTTATCGGTTGTTAATTTATTAAAGTACTCGTATTAAGTGATAATTTGAACTGCTTATGAGAGCAATGAAAAAAGTTAGTCGGTTTCTAAATGTCATAATTAAACTTCTATCGAATAAGCTTTTAAGTTATTGTGTAATATTACTATAAATTAAGAGATTAATAATAACATAAATTAATTACTCGTACTTCATACAAAAAGTACAAATTAATGTTTCAAACTGATTTTGTATACGTTATTTGAAATTGCGATCAAAGACTAACTTTAATTGAAAGGAACCGTCAAATTGCCTGCTAAACTGAATGTCACAGATTGTTAACGGTAAACAAGTACGTACTACAAACAAAGCCACAAACGTGAAGACATTCCAAATGAAGTTTTCATTCGGATTGCCCTCGTTGGTCGTTACACGTAAATAACTCAAGTTCAACAGCCACCTACCAACTAAGACGACCACTAAACAACAACTGCTTAATTATTAACACGACTCTGTGAAGATTGCGAACCGAAGACAAACACAGCATGGCTGCAGTCAGTAGATACAGTTCCTACAACTGCCTAACGGGCTGGGACAGTTACGATAAGATACCCAGGTAACAAACATTTTATTTATTTAAATGCCAGAATATTTAAATTGGAATTACTACATTTAATCGTAGAAAGCCGCCCGACTAAACGGCTTACGTTGGGAACACCACGAGAGACAATAATTAGGACTGACGGTCGATCTGACGAGCCCACCGAGGCGGCAACAGTTAAAATAATTTAAATTATTACGTGGTAAATTCTAAATCTAAATTCGTACTGAATTTCAACAAAATCAATAAGCACAGCTTGTTGCTACTTCGTGTACTCATCATAAATTAACATCCGCTTGTTTTATTTACGTTGTCGTATCTTATTCCGTTTCAGAGGATTTTAAAATTTATATTAACGAATATGGAGTAGGTTAGAGGTTTCCACTTATTAAACAGAGATTTTTTAAAATAAATCTGCTGGAATTTATATATTCCTTGACTTTGAACTTTATTTAAATAAAAAGCAATTGAAACAAGGTGAAACTGCAGCTCGTCGTTAATTGTTAATGCTCGTATAATATGCATTGTGCATTCGCTTCATTGCTGCAGATGCTAACTCGCGTTCTCGAGAAACGTGCAACCTTGCAGTCATGTCTTGGACGCCAATGACATTCTTATCTTGTGTATTGTGCAGGTTGCTTCTAGCTAGATGATAAGAAAACGTGATTTCAGTCTAATCCGATGTTAGAATTTGCCTTTTAAATCCGTACAAAATTATAGATATTATAAAATCCTTTTACAGAAATCTTCAGCAATCTTTCGCGTTTTAGTTATGTTAAAAGTATATTAGCAGTCAAGATTGTCATTTGTTTTTCTCAAATTGACAGCATTTTCAGTCGTAGTCTCGGGACTGCACAGTTTAAAAGATAAAACAGAAAAATGACCTTTTAATAATGAGATAGGTATTTATTTACTCGTATTTAGGGATAACACAATAACTTATGTTGGAACTCATATTTCCAATAATATCAATGACCCATCATGTTAATTTCGTGCATATTAGTTTTTGTGTGGTGTTTTATTACAAATAGATAAATAAACAACAAAATTCAAACAGGACAAGGACAGTCTATTAAGACTAATCAGGAAGCAACTACATACATAAAATAATTCAGGATTGTTGTTAACGTTTTTAACATAGTACGAGTAGGTACTCGTAGCTTACATAAGTCTGTATCTTTGCAGTCTTGTGCCAAAATAGTATTGTCTTTAAGTGTAGCTAAACTATTAACGTTTGTTTGTAAATCTGTGCCAAGCTCTAGTAAGAAACTCTCAGACTAGATTTACCTGCTAGCTCTTAACTTTGTTATTAAGATCTTTGTATCGCTTTTACCGGTCACTTGACAGACATCGTATTACTGAGCACGATTTACTTCGTATAAAGTGCTTCTTTTACTTCGTCTAACTTTGAGTAAGTATTCCAATCCAACACAGACGAGCCGGATCGTTTTTGCTTTGATACGCTGCGAGCTCCATAAGCCAATCCAATCTCATAAGCTGATCCCATTGAAATGTGATTGGTCAAACACAAAGAAACATCTATCATGTTTCTCATTGTGAGAGTATTTTTAAGAATTACACTTTTGACGTACTTATAGTACCTACCGAACACATTATCAACCGTACATACATTAACTATTGTCACTACGACTGTTTAGCAGCTAAACTATTTGAATTGAAGTTGAACTGATTCCATAAAATTGAAGAGGATAATTTTTCTATTTAACTAAAGGTGAAACTAAAATATATTACAGCGGCACAATCTCCCACAGTCGTTCATTACGTACTGAAAGAACAAACAAAACTATAAGCCATTGTTTTTCCCTCTTGTTTAATATTACAGCACGGATTCTGCGGTAGGACAAAGGTAATCCATTATAATTAAAAATTAAGTTGTGGATTGCATTTACGTGAAACGTCTTTGGTTGCTAATTAATTAGGTTTCTGTGGGTACAATGTAGGGGCGATCTGGGAGCGCTGTAACAGAGGACAGTCGTCACGTTGTTGTCAACTTCATGAAACTTAAGGACTTTACAGAGCTGGAGGCAAAATTTCGTCCAAATTTATCCCTTTCTCCTGCAACTTACGGGGATAATGTAATGAGGGTATGACTAATTACTTAAACTGAAGACTCACGGTCAGTTTAACTCAGTTGTTTGAGTGTTCGGCTTTACTTTCATTATGCCAATTATATCGAATTGAGGCTTATCTTTCAGGCCGAAATCGAACTCTCGAAATTTACTTAGTTAAAACCAATTATTTTAGAATGGATAAAGTTCAGTTGTATTTTTTGTTGAATAATGCATTTCAGGCTACTTTTATCTTAATGTATAGTAATTGTAAATTTAGACCAAATAGCTTTTACTAAAATTGATTTACACTGAAGAAAACACTCTTGACTATATTCATAACTATTTTTAAATCCGTATGATAGGACATCTAAGGACATTAATTACAATAAAATAACAGCCTATTCTTAAAACGTAATTTTGTGAATATTTGTACAAACATGCTATGTGTATGAACAGATTCAATGTCCTTGTTTGAGTTAGAAATGTACGCACTCCCGGATTTTGGTAATACGCCAATGTAAAATACGCAACACGGAGTTATATACGATCGATCCCGCGCCATTGCAGATTTAAAAGTAAGGCCCACCAGAGAATTTAGCTTCCATTTCAGATTTTTCAGTGGCTGTAATGCGGCGATCTAAAACGGTCCATTTCATTCGTGCTTGCGTTTGCCTTCTCTACTTGTCTGTCTCATATCTCTACTAAAATATTAATGTGAATGTTGTGACGCTTGGGGAATCCATGTTATTTCGTGATATTGGAAAAATCCGAACAGTGAAATAATTAATTATGCCTATCTATTTTTAAAATATAACGAAAATAGCAATAACTACCAACCTTGTACAGGAAAGGTGTAAGAAGGGCTAGTCCATACATTTGTCGATATACCTACATAATGTATGTACAAGTGTATATTGGTGATTGTATTAATTAAAAAAGCATATTCTCTTACATTTCTATCGTCATAATGAAAACAGTTTCCCCATGGGTGTGTAGGTACACTTTTGCCGAAGCACGCAAGCACCGTTAAGGCCACTTTAATGTCGACACTTAGCCAGTACAATGCTATAAAATAAATGTTTTAACTTTTATCGCTAGACTTCTATATTAGTAGGATAAATATATCATCATTTTTCTTATAAATGTGATGATACAAAAATGCATTACACAAAGTTTTGTGATATATCAGCACACGAGCACTTTGCAATTGCCATTTCCTACTACGCACACATTTACCGCGTTCTCATAATTAATTGTAGAACACATTATTTAATTAAGCTCGGAAATTGATTGTGGCTTGCTCGTACGAACCTGTGCCTTTTTGTAGAGCTATTGTGAAGTCAAAGGTCTATGCCAGAAAACCACAATTAATTTACGAGCTCAAGGCCCAGTGTGAAAGGGTTGTCTCTGTATGATGAAGCCGTTTAATGTACGGAACATTAAAAGGAAATATGGAATTTAATATGAATCGTAGTCGTTCTATTAATTTATTTTATAAAAGAGACATTTTAATCTTAAGAAGTTCGTATATTAAGTCCAGTTTTTGACAAAAAAGGAGAATAAGTAGGTACACAAAAGAGTCTTGTTTCGAATCGTTCCTGCTGTCCCTACCCTTAGCCTAGGACCTGACCTATTTGATGTTAAGTAATGTGATATACCTACACCAGAAATGTCTGAAACTTTAGTATAATATAATTTCGAAGTTCCGCTACAAAAATGAGATGTAAAAAAATATAACTAAAGATAAAACAATTAAAATGTAAATAACTCAAGACGATTTTTCAGTAACAAAGTGGGACACATTTTTAATCAATGTTTTTTTTTTTTTCTTACAAAAAACAAATCACTACCGATTCATATCATTTACAAACGCTACGAGTAACTGAACAAACACAGGGATGTGTATTAAAACTGTTTCGCATCATGGGTCCGCGGAAGATGTGTTCTACAGAAGAACAAAGTATACAATTTGTACTTTTCTGGAATTGTTCATATAAAAAACAAATGAGCAGTATACAACTAAAGGTATTTTTTAACCGCAAAAACTTTTCATAGTACTCAGAATTGGCCAGAAAATTAAAACCGGTAGAGTCTCTTACGCAGAACTTTGAATGTAAATTAATATTTCATAATTACAAAAATTAAAATAATCTTTTATAATATTATGGATGCAATAAATTATTGAGTATTAACCTACTAGGTAGCTCTAATAACAAACTGGGAATTTCCAAACGTTATTTTACGGAAATGTATCAAAACATTTTAAAAAATACGCAGATTTTACCGTACCTGCCTGCAGGTCATGTAGGGCGAACTAGGCGGACCAGTAACTAGATTAAGTTCATTAAAAACATTTTAGTAAAAACGAGCTCCGTAAACTGTTTACCTGCTGGATCGCATGTTTCACTCGCGGACCAAATTATTGAAGTATCTAGTGACCTGAAAATTCTGTGATCAAACCCGGTACGGGCGCATATCGAATTATCGGCTTCGCAGCTGTATGCTTTGGCTTGGCCGCTTTTAAAGTTGAATATTTTCTACTTATTTTTACCCGACATGTAATCTTATTCCTACCATCCGCCTATTACGTTTTTCTCCTTGGCATAAAACTCGACTCCGAGGGAATGCTCATTGCTCAGTGGTATTTAGTTCGCCTTTGTACTGCTGTTTTACTAGTGAAATAGGTTTTTAATTTAGTTCTTTACGGTATTTGTAAGGAAACGTAATAGCCTTGTTTACTTCTTAATTCTCTGTTTCTTGGATTTATTCTTCAAAGGACATTTTTTTAAAGAAATGCGTAATTGTCAGGCTGTTTTCAACAGGTTGGATTTGATTAATAATTTTGAAGTATGAGCTGCTGGCGGCTAGAGACCACGGACGGACTTTGTATGCCTCCACGGACGCAAATGTTGAGTGTAATGACTTACGAAACTACACCCTTGTTAAAACTAAAACAGACCTCTATCAACGTTTTAACTAAAACACTGTTTTCTCTCTTTTCTCCACAGTGAAAATCACACATGACAAAAAAAGACAAAGCATTCATTAGCCAGGACAGAGTTATAGCACTGTTATATTCCTTTTTATGAATAAAGAGGTTAATATTTACATGTGAGGTGTTTAGAGGCTAAATAAGTCTTTTGAGGGCTCGTTTCCTTGTAAGTTATACAGTAAATTTAATACTGTACTGGTATATAGTGTCAAGGAAGGTCATAAAATATACACACGTCGGCAAAATGATGAAGCACTTTTTAATGTAATAAAGGCAAACTAAATAATTGAGGGCACTAACCCCTACTGTTATGATGCATGATATAATTAGCTAAAAAGTATTTTGATAAATGAAAATACTTGGTAACAGTAGTACGTTGCAGAATTAACATTATTTATTAAAGGTCAACGAAACTGAAAGGGTTGAACATACATAGAAACGTTATAATGATATAAATGCACTTTTTTCTTAATAAGTAAGCTTTAGTTAGTTACTTTTGTATGCCTTTATTTTAGATTTTTTTACCTATAATAATAAACCCCTCTAGAAGCTTATTTTATAAGAAAAACTTAAATTATTTAGTCTTACTTCCCTGTAGTACCTACTCTTATAAATTGGTATATTCAATAGAGCGCAGAGCATCCATCAATGCCCATTCAAAGATGAATTGAGATCAAAAGTTAAATTAATGTTACTGTATTAATCAACTTTGTTTGACTCCACTTGGCAGAGGAACTACCTCCCCAGATATAGGTACCATAAAAAATTAAAGTCACTTTTCATATTTTTTTCTATGGAATTTTTACTGGTTATGATATTTTATAATACATGAGTCATTCTTAAACTAACTAATGTATCTTAACCGTTATAGTTTTCTTTGAAATTTCATGAAAAGCAGTATTATTATGATTTTTTCCAGATTTTTCAAGCTAACAGTTTAGTTTTTAGAGAGAGGGGACGCCCTACTCGAACAAAAATTGTCACTTTAAACTTTTAATAATTTGCAAACAGATCCCTAAATGGAAAAATAGTCTTAAAAACCCCTAAGCCATTTTAAAAGACCTATCCAACGATACCCCACACAATGGGGCAGAAGATGAAAAAAAAACATCCCCACTTTACTTATTGGGGAACTACCCTAAAATTTTTTTTTTTCAAAATTTTATTTTACCGTTTTGTTGGCGTGATTAATATACCTAAATACCTCCACAACAAACAACAAATTACAGCTCCCTAGTGCCAATAGTTTCCAAGAAACACCTCGCACAGTCTTTTATTTTCCCTTAGAAGCGGACATCCCTGTTTTATTAATTCAATCGTTTGATATTACTATTATGTATAAAATTGATGAAGGAACTAGTAGTTGTATTTGCTTAGTTTCGAAGAAATATTCGATATTGTGATTTTATAAAAAAAAAACAGTTTTAGAAGCATATTTTCTAAAAAAATTACATTAAGGCAGAATTTTGTTAAATAAATTTACCTATCACTATAACGTCTATATTATTTAATAATTTATGAATTTCAGAAAACATTTTTTTCTCCGTTACACTAGAAAATTGGCAGCTATATTTACTTTATATTGATGCATGATATAATTATCTATAATACCTTAATGTTTAAATAAGATATTGTTCTGCCGCAGCTTTTATGGACATAAAGAATAAATGTTTTGCTTTTGATTAAAATATTTCTAGTAATAAGGATTCGCTAACACAGTCACCGTCTCACTCTTCACTCGTTGGGCGGAGAACACTAGGCTTTGTTTGTCCAAGGTCTCTGGGCAGATTTAAATAGATTTACCTAGCTATCGCTTGACCATTGTATTTTAGTTTAACCTTAGAATAACTGTGACGTCAAACTAAACTTTCAATTGGGTCATTCATGCTTGGAATAGTCCATGCCATGACTAAATTGGAACAGTCAGTCTTATTTATTTGCATTCATTCAAACATTATTAAGTTTCCCTTATAGGACAATGTAAACATATTTTTTAACAAACATTATTTATTCAAACCTCCAGAGTCCTTATAACATTGGAAACAACGTCACAAAGTGAAACTTCGTGTGGTCAGATAATTAATATCTGACCGGGAATCAAAACCAGACACAAGTAGACAAGCGAGAGACCAGCAACGAACGAAATTTCGTAATCTACCGAGACTAACATTTGGTGGGAAAAACGCAGTGAACATGAGTAAATGTAAATTAAGACTTACCTGAGCAGCGAAACAGTATTATTACATATTTTATAAATTAAAGTTCAGTATTTGAGAATGCTTAAAAGACAATACCATTTATCATGTAATACGAGTACAACTCAAGCCATAACTAGAACTGTTTGTCCTTGGCACGATATTAACATACGAGTATACGTAAGTGCCTATGAATCGATAAAATTGAATTGAATAGATAGCTGCAATATTAAGCAATCGTATATACATCTACTGCAAGACAACTAATCCCTGTAGCTTCAACATTATTTCATTTGCAACAAAACAGGATTTACCTACATCTCTAGGGGCATCGACAATCCGGCATCATTGTTAGGCTGTCTATTTGTTTGCAAGATTGCCAATCTAATAAACTACAACACTATCAAGTGATACAGTGTCTATTGCCACTGTTCTGTCTTCAGCCAACGTGCAAAGCACTTGGCTTACTGGAGGATGACGCACACTGGGAATGACATGACATGACACAAACGTAATTTACAGAGAGGTTTTGAAAAAATTATATTCGTCGACTTCATACAAAACAGTTAGCAGAGTTGGTAAATGCCCAGATGCGTTTAAAACTTACACAAGATTATTTGCTAAAATAAAATATTACAACTCTACATAATAATATTTAAAGTAAACTACTTAATTAACCTAATTTTAAAAAAATACAAGGCTTATAAACGACTTCATTGAATCTAGACATTCGTCTAGATATTGATTGTTTTTATATATTATTTTATTTTTTCCCACATTCGGTATTTAGCTTTTTCGGATACAATTAAAAATTATGTGCAAATAACTCCAAGCGTACGAAGTCACGGGCGGCCGCTAGTTGTTAATAATATGCAAATATTGTAAATTATATTTTTATTGTTACAGAGTCCGTGTGGAATACTACGTGAACGAGAATACTTTCAAAGAAAGACTGCAACTTTATTTTATAAAAAATCAACGATCGAGTAAGTAACCATTTTTCAGAACATACTACATAAGCCAGTAATATCAATATAAACACAAAAAAGGCAAACAAGGCAAACGCGGATGTAGCTTCCATTGTTTTATTTGTCGTTAGGTCCCTTGAGAGTTGCAACCCTGAAAACCCGAAAGCAAAATTTCAGGAACTTGTTTCAGTTTTTTCGTTATACTTTAATAAAGCTAACTAACAAGCTAACTCGAGCACTAGGTATAGAGCCATTATTGGTTGCGGTTGCGGAGATACTTACGCCTAATCAAAGACTGGAACTTTTTCAAAAAATTGTTATGGCCGCATCCGCATTTTCTATGGCTAATGTACTTTAAATACCACAACATGAACTGTTTATGTAGATCAAAATAAACACTTTTTATTTATTTATTTAAATGGGATGGGAAACCAGCGAACAAGGTCTTATGCCTGTCACTCAAAAACCGCTTAAAAATGCAAAAAAGTCAACTCCCCCTCAACTACAAAAGCTGCTAAATATCATTCTTGGAGGACCACCAATCATAAGAATGGTGAAGGGTTGACAAACACCCGTGTGACTGACGATGGGCGACCAGCAAACAAGGTCTTATGTCTGTCACAAGGTACGCAGAGCCCGATCCTCAGGATCTGCTTAAAATAGTGCTGTGCACTTGCAGAAAGGCCGGGCTCAAGTGGCAATAGAATATGAAATGAAAATTTTGTGGTAGTCGCATTTTTTAAGACCCGGTTGAATTATTACTCCTAGGAGTAGAATTCACTATCAGTCATGGGAAACCTTGTTTGCCTCCCCCCAACTACAGAAGCTGCAAAATATAATTTTTTGAAGGACCTAACATCAAGTAAAAAAATGGTTAGAGGTTGAAAAAATCTGTAACAAATGTGCGCAGAACCCGATCCTCAAACCCTGCTTATAATGGTGGCTTGCAAATGCAAAAAAGGTTGCTTAAGGTCGTGCACTTACAGAAAAGCTGGGCTCTATCCTATGTTCTTCTATTTGAGTAACTGTATCTCCGCAACCATTGGACGCAAAGTGCTCGGGTTAGGCTTAATTTGTAGCAAAAGTTGGGTATTTTAAGGTATGACACTTATTTAGATTCCTGCACGGTTTTTGTATTTTAATAAATAATTCTTACGTCCGTATTCACAAACGATGCTTGCTTAAGTGAAGCAGCAAATCGAATGCACAGCGTTGAATAGAGCTCTGTGATTGGGTCGCACTGTGAGACCTCATAGCAATGTTTATGAATACGGGCATTAGTGCGAGACATTAATTCCCAATGAAATTGTTGAAAGATATTTTTATAATGTCGACAGAATACCTCTTTAAAACTCATAATAGAGCAGTTTAATTCCGTATGAAATTATAATCGATGAAGCACATACCGTACGGAGAGATACTCGTAGACATGATCAGACACTTGGCACCTCACTCCCAGTGAAACCCTACTCAAAGTGCCTCACAAATGTCGGGTTGTCGATTACGAGCACAACCCTCGCTGTTGGACCACTCTGACCCCTGTTCTTTAAAAAAATTCACCAGCAAAATCCATTAGGTCACTTTAAAATTGGTACATTATCTAGTATGCCTAATACCTATAGTATATCAATTTAACCAATTATGAATGATAGATGAAACCGCATACCTAAATACACTCGGCATCAAATAAATCGCACCTCCCGCGACAAGCACTTATCAAACGTATGCATCCCCACTTCCCACCAACATTGGTACCGTTTGAAAGCCTAGTAGTTCTAAACTTAATTTCATTAAAGGAAAGGTTTTTACCCCAAAAATGTGTCTTTACAAGGATCCAGAATCACTTCTTCAAAAAATAGGTAGTTACGCTATAGCCATTTTTATGACTATAAAACTGTTAAGTTGGGATTAATCGCTATCCATCTGTTAAAGAGGACACGTGAGATCTTTATTTGGTTTCATAACCATAACAATTGGTCTAATTGATCCCAGAGGTGAGCCTAAAGTGAGGTCTATTTTCAAGTCACATTTATGGTATATGTTGATCATTTATTTAGAAATGAAATGTATTTTTCTTTAAGGATATTTATTGGGCTTTCAAATAACACCAATATTGTTGGGGTACCATGATTGTGTCAGAAGAAAATCTTAAAAGTTCGCGTCGCGGAAGGTGCGGTTTATTTGATGTTGAGTGTAGTTGATTCAGGACCGGATTCAGGTCAGTCTTTAATTTTAGAAATGCGGCTGATAATTCAAATGAAAATTTCACCAAGGCTGTTGTGCAAGACCTTTCTTTGACGTTAAGCGTTAGCGGTATGTTTACCTTCTTTTATTGACAGACGCTATCAAATTAAAACTTATTGTCGCTACTTCTTACTTACGCCAACTTGGAGAAAGTTCTTCTGAAGATTGATTTGATACTGAAGAGTATGTGACGACTGTACAATCCATTCTGCTACAATGACTACAGTTTGCGTTGCTAGGCCAGTAGAATTAAACACAAAAATTGATTAAATCGGAAATAATTCCTACAAAAGATTTTTTTGCTTTAATGGCTTCATTGGTTGCCCATTAAGACTCTCCTAAGTTTTCGACTTCGACGGAGTTGTGCTTAAGTGGTGGGGGCCCCCGAAAGGGGCGTTTTTTCGGTTTTCCGGTTATACCGCGTAAAGGACTTACCCTATCGAAAAGTGGTCTTCATGACGGTTAAAGGGCACTTAATCCTGCATTGAATAAGACCAAATTCATATGTTTTGGACAAACCGTTCTCGCGCTAAAGTTCGGCAAAGTAGAAAATATACGTATAATTAATGACCCTCTCCACGTCTAATGGCTTGTTACCCACATGCTTCCAAGCCTTGTAAAGGGTCGCCTTAACCAGTGTAACCCTAACAAGGCTCACGAGTTTGATTCGCTTATCCTTGTTCGTCCCAGCCGTTCCTTAACTGCGGTTGCTGCACCTCTTCCTGGCACTCTCCTGAACGACTCTGTGTTACCTAATGTGGCTGCCCCTCTTCCTTGTACCCTCCTGTACGATTTCATTGCTTAGCCATATGCCTGGTCCAAGGTTCGACGCCACAAAATCAACTTCGTACGAGTGAAAATAGTTTAAATACTATTTCCCGTGCTTGCAACATTTTTCTTTACTGCTTCGCCTCTATTAGTCGTAGAGTGATTGTATATATCCTATAGCCTTCCTCAATGTATGAGCTATTCAACACAAAAATAATGATTTCAATCAAACTAGTAATTCTTAAGATTAGCGCGTTCAAACAAACAAACAAAAAACTCTTCAGCGTTTTAATATGAACTTGTTGTTGTTGATTTTTGGCGTCGAACCTTAGACCAGGCATACGGCTAGGCAACGTAGTCATGCAGGAGGATACAAGGAAGAGGGGCAGCCACAGTAGGTAACACAGAGTCGTTCAGGTGAGTGCCAGGAAGAGGTGCAGCAACCGCAGTTAAGGAACGGCTGGGACGAACAAGGATAGGCGCATCAAGCTCGTAAGCCTTGATAGGGTTACACTGGTTGAGGTGGCCCTTTTCAAGACTTGGAAGCCTGTGGGTAACAAACCATTGGACATGGAGAGGGTCATTAATTATACGTATATTTTCTACTTTGCCGAACTTTAGCGCGAGAACGGTTTGTCCAAAACATATGAATTTGGTCTTATTCAATGCAGGATTAAGTGCCCTTCAACCGTCATGAAGACCACTTTTTGATAGGGTAAGTCCTTTACGCGGTATAACCGGAAAACCGAAAAAATGCCCCTTTCGGGGGCCCCCACCACTTAAGCACAACTCCGTCGAAGTCGAAAACTTAGGAGAGTCTTGATGGGCAACCAATGAAGCCATTAAAACAATAAAATCTTTTGTAGGAATTATTTCCGATTTAAAAGCTAATTCTACTGGACTATGCTGTTATTTTAAAATTTGGACGTTTACTTTAATCAGCAGTAGGTGCAACCGTAGGTACTTTAACGTCACTTGTGATCTTTACCAGGTGTTTAATTTGTTTCAGGTTTACGCATTAGAATAGCGAACTTATTTTTCAAACTATTGGCCTGCGTGCTATACATATGTCGTGTATGTGCTGATGGAGATCCTATTTCTGCATCATGGTGAGACACATTGATATAATACGATTTTTAGTACTGCGGAACTATTTGACTCACTTTAAAATGAGAATACCATTAAAATAACAACAGAATTTCTCGCTCTGGGCAACTTAACAATGGCTACCACTTGTTTCTCTCAAGTAATACTGTACAATGCTTTGCATTTTGTGATACTTCTAGCAGCCACCAGCAGTAACAAGTTAACGATGTACTTGCTTATAGTACTAGAATGAAGTCTCAAAGATATTTTATTTCGTTAATTTTCGTCTTTTGTAGTCTTTTTCATCCTAAAGAGCATAAAACAGATCCGAGTAGATACTAATACATGCCAGTCAATTCATAATTTGTTCATGTAGTTTTAATTTCTTAGCTAACATCAATTAATTACATTGTTTCATGACAGATCATTGATTTACAACGTACGCCTATAAAAAATGTACTTCATTATTATAAACTTCTTTCTTGTCTATCTTGCCTCATGCAGCAAGCCTCTGAGTTTTTTGGAAAGCCTTGTTGTTTTGTCCATTCCGTTCGACTGATTTAATATTTAATGTTGCTTTGCTTTGCTTGCCGGTATTCAACCAACTTAATTTGAATCAAATAGTGCTGTAAAGATGTATTTGTTTTTTTTTCAGTCGTTCTCTTCTTCGCCCTACTTTTTCCCCTAAAAACAATAGTTATAAACAACAAATAGATTTTATTAACCACTTCTAATATTCGATTTCAATGAAGTTGAACCGTAAACAAATATTACGTTACGCTACAACATACCTACTTCTGTTTATTTAATAGCGGTCCTGATGTATGTGTCAATGAGTCCTTCTGTGTAAACATTTACTCGCCGAGCTTGACTTCTTTATTTGAATCAAATCATGTTTTGAAGACATAATCTATCAAAAATTTAGAGACAACGAACTACATAGTTCAGTATATACTTTTTGACTTTTCCACAACTTTGTATGCAACAAAACAATACGCGATTCAAGAACCTGTTTGAATTAAGGTTGAGTTGTATCAGCTTAAAATTTATTATGCAGTTAGATTGATAAATGGTTGTCATTATTTCGACAAACAAGAAGCTTGCTTGTTATTTCATTGAGAACTTGCAAAAGAATATTAAATCACATTGTAATAATACCCTACTTCAGTTCTAACTCTAAGTTTCATGTCGATATTTCCTACTTATCTTCAGCCTTCAGGGTAGGAATCAAAGTTATCAAGGACTTAACCTCGTTTAGTGCAATATGGGTACTCGTATTCGTAAAAAATAGTTTTAGGCATTCTGGGACTGGGTAGTCAATCCGAAAAAACGCTCAACGGTTGGAATGTGTAGGTGTCAAAATGTCCATACGGCGGCTGTCAGTGTAGCAAAAAGTATGAACGTCAAAAAGTCCCATTGTCAAAATGTACATTATTTTATTACCATGGTTACAATGGTTTAGTGACAAATGTTACACATCACAAAATACAAGTACAACAAAAGGTGTGATAGATAAAATGATCAACTGATATATTGTGCTCATGATTTAATTAATAAAATTAAATGTCAAAATGTTCAATGTTCTTGTAGGCCAGCCATTAAAGATTTTTTGGACATTTTTACCTTGATGCATTTAAACAAGTGTTCACGTTAGCTATTATACAATAAGACGCTTGTTCGAATAAACCCGAAGACATTTTAACTTCAGATCATTTTAACCATTGCTCATTTCGACGTTCATACTTTTTGCCACACTAGCAGCCGGTCCGTATGGACATTTTGACACCTGCACATTCCAACCGTTGAGCGTTTTTTCGCATTGACTACCCACTCCCAGAATGGTTTTAGGAATGTCATGTGTCTACTTATAAATCTCTTTTTGTCTTACAAACTTAGTAATTCTAATTGCATTTTTCATCACTACATATTATAAAAGAAAGTAGTTTTCCTGTCTGTCCCTATGTATGCTTAAATCTTTAAAACTACGCAAGGGATTTTGATCCAGTTTTTTATAATAGATAGAGTCACATGAGAAAGGATTTTAAGTATAATACATTGTACCTGTGCGAAGCAGGGGTGGGTCACTAGTTAATCAATAGTTTGGTATGTATTTCATTTATAGATGTCCATGACACACATTAATCTGACCTCTGTCAATTTATAATCGGTTTATCATTTTGCCCTACTTTACGACTATTAACAGTGGTATTGATAAGTGCAGTACAGGTGTCCGATTTTCCATGCAAAACAAACAACCTTGCATATACGATCAACTTGAAAAAAAAAAAAACTTAAAAGTAAAGACTCATACTGGACGGAATGTTTCAGGGCTTCATCTTAAGTCCTTTACTTTTCCTTATTTACATAATTGATTTTGAAAAAGTAACTAAAAAAACTGATGCAGTTCAATAACGTGACGAGGTTAAAATTATCTTCTCCATCTAAAAATAACGACAGAACGATTACTGCAAGTCCGGTGCACATGTGTTAACCGCAAATTATATCAGGTGTTAACCGCAAATAATGTTACTTTATTAATTATTTTACCGGTATATAATTTCAGAAGACTAGAAATGTAGGAAGCTCCCGTGGCAGTAAAATTACCCATCATAATTTAATTTGTATCAAGTTACGCAGAAAACCCTGAGATTTAAATGAAGGCGTATTAAGTTTATAAAGTATATTTAACTCCCTGAAACAAAGTGTATTTATTAAGCCATTTTAAGATGATACATAATTTTAACTGACATTGACTCAGACAAAACCTGTAAGAAAATGTTTTAAAATAAATTAATTACCTTTCCAGTTATGGATGTAGACCGGGAAATAAGACTGAATTTGAATATTCGGCAAACTTGACGGAGGAGGAATTTCAAGAGCATCCAATAATCAACTGGGACGGAATAATATGGGTCAACAGGCCGCTGTACTTGTGGATAGTGCAAGTCATCTTAGCCATGATATCGTTCACAGAAGCTATACTTCTTGCTTATTTAGGATACAAGGTGCATATTCGATATTTTATTTTATATAATTTTCTAAAATTCCGTAATCAACTAAAGTTTTCTTTAAAATTTAAGGGAAATATCTGGCAGCAAGTGTTATCATTTCACTTTATCTTGGAAATGGTGAATACTATCCCATTCGCATTGACTGTAAGTAACTAGCATAATTTTATTACTGAAATAACAAAAATGTAGTGTTAGCAAATAGATATGATATTTACCCGGGCTAATATAATACCTGTAATTTTTTTCTGATTTATAAATTTAAGCCACAATGGAAGCTTGTGTAAATATTTTTAAAAGCAGATTGCGCCTCGACTCTCTTATTGTGATTTGTTATTGATTTTGATGCAATTTTACAAACAGCTCACGTTTTATGCCACTTGTACACTACATTGTAACAGATCTAGGACAAGGTTTACGATAATAATTTATTTTAATGTTTTGATTACAGCTGCCCTTTCCACCGCTACGAAATCTGTTCATACCGGTATTCTTAAACTGCTGGCTAGCAAAAAGATCACTGGAAAATATGTTTGTAAGTATTTTTCCAAATCGAGAAATCCTTTGTATAGGTAATTGTCTCCAGTTTGGTTAGAATAATGCAGGCTTGACTCAACTTCATTTTCCGTAGAGATAACTATTTCTCGACATATGGTCTCAATTGAGCCACATCAAACGCCGCATGGTCCATAAAGGCTAATGTCTGACCACAATTGTAGCCTTAGTAGTAACCCTCGAAGAAGCAGAATTATCTTCCTTTGTATTGTTTATTACTGACTTCAATATCAAAAGAGAAGATCGTACTTATAAGTTGAGATAGTTATAGCTCTAAACTAGTTTTTTTCTATCATACATCACTTTATCGATTACAATATGTTTCTTTGAAATAATTCTCACATTACTTATTCATGTTTTCCAGAATGACCTTCACCGCGCCATGCAAAAGTCGCAATCAGCGTTATCACAACAATTAATGATACTGTGTGTTACATTGCTATGCCTCGTTTTCACAAGGTAAGCTCTAGGAATATTTTATTATTAAATACATTTTATAATTAAAATTATATTATTTATAATAGAAAATTATATTTAAGAAGTAATAATACACCAGGTGGGGGTTATTAAGATTTAATTTAAGGTACACTTAAGATTCGGGTACTTATATCATGTATGGCATAGCTGCTATATCTTTTTTGACCGTATACTATCAGTTCGGTTGTGGCCATAAAACAATTTGATAATACTATGTAACTAATATCAAGAACTTTTTGACTCTTTACGTTATTTGTTTTATATTTATATTTGTTTACTCCCTTTGTCGAACTTGAATGCTGTCGAAGGTAGCGTCAAAGAATAGTCTATATTTAGCCTTAATCGGAATTTAATGACCATGCTAACGCTGATTCATTAAAAAACAGGAATTTATGCGAAAGAATGCACTCTTTTATTCCTGTAATTTTAATAATCAGCTCTCATTAACCAACTGCCAATGACCCAATTGGTAAACAGTGAAAGGTGTACCATCTTGAATTGATGTTTGGGTTATGTTGCACTTTGTATCCAGTTTCAATACAAAAATGTAGTTAGGCTTTAATAAAAGGATATGAATTAGTTCTTTGGATGCTATGCTACATCAAGTCTGGTGGAGTTGACTCAAAGCAAGAAGCAATTAGTATTTTTTGAAGCTCATAAGTAACATCCTACCTACACAATAAAAGAAGAACAACACCAATTAATGTATTTTTTATTACAAAACTAGGTATATTAATTACTGCCCCAGTATTCCACATTAGTTAACTTTAAATTACAGACATGCTTTTACTCTCCAACCAAATATAAATCAATATTATGCAAAGCACCTCATAATTATTCATAGGCGGTCAAATGCCCAAATCTTTACAACTTGGCTGGCATGCAAAAATTCTTCTTTATTAGAAAAAGTTCTTATCAATTCATTCATTCATCAACAGCCCTTTACAGTCCACTGCTGGACTATGAGCCTCCTCCACTATAGTGGAGGGTTTTGCCATAATCTCCACGCTTGGCAGGCGGGTTGGAGATCGCAGTTTAAAAGATGTTTTTCAGAGAGCGCTGCTGCCCATTCTCTGTTTGATGTGTAGTCCCTAAGTCGCCTCTTACCAATTAAACAGACAAAAAATAAGTCAGAAGTGGAAGATAATTTGGAAATACAAATAAGTACATCACCTCAGACAAACACTGCTCTTTATATTGCTGTTACACAAAAAGTTGTTGCTACATAAATGTCGATATCTCAATAGATTCATATTTTCAATTACTACCAAAAAAACTCACACAACCAATTATGAAATTTTTTACAGTGTTTGCGGCATTCAGCACTTCCAGAGAGCCGGCCACCGACACCTAAATCTATTTCAAGCTACATATTTCGTCGTGGTCACATTTTCAACCGTGGGCTATGGAGACTTCGTGCCGGATATTTGGCCCTCGCAACTTTTCATGGTGATAATGATTGGCGTCGCGCTAGTCGTTTTACCGACACAGGTACGGAATACGGGCACTAGCCACTATAAACATCAATTAAGTTATTAACGTCCATACCTAACCCAAGGACAAAGCCACGCCAGACGTAATTAACGTCCAGTGCGATAGAGTTCATATGTTTTTTGCCAAGATAAACACTATTCTGCCGTGGTATCACATCGAAAACCTCTACTATGAAACTGGTTTTAGCATAATTTACTTTGCATCTATGTATAATTTCAATTAAATAATGTTTATAAGAAATATCTCTGGTTTCCAGTTCGAGCAATTAGCATTCACGTGGATGGAAAGACAGAAATTGGGAGGATCGTACTCATCGCACCGAGCCCAGTCGGAGAAGCACGTGGTTGTATGCTCTACTACTCTGCACGCTGACACTATCATGGATTTCCTTAACGAATTTTACGCTCACCCATTGCTGCAAGACTACTACGTGGTCCTTCTATCGCCAATGGAACTTGATACTACCATGCGAATGATATTGCAGGTAAAAACTACTTCGTAGCTTTGCACCGAGTGTAGTCATGCAACACTTGAAAGTAAGAATACTGTGCCGACCTTAGCTTTACCAAGTGGGTGGATGGACTCATAAGTTTATGGCGGATTTACACTATGCGACTTGACTTGGCTAATTTCCGTGCAGTGTAAACGCAGCATTACACTTAATAATTCTAAGTGAGACCAAAGTAGGAATCACATAGTGGGTTTAATTTTCAGTTTGATCAAATTAACCTGAAGTAAATATAATTCTATATACAGTGTGTCCGGTCACCGGTGTCCGACCCGTTATGACACAGTAATATGAACAGTTTTCCGTGAACACTTGGGCAGGAATGATTGATCACATATTGATTGGACCCCTGATTTTACCAGCCACAATGAATGGTCCGAGATATTTAGAATTCCTGCTGACACAATTTTTGATGCATTGATGGAGCTGCCATTGTCACACCGGACGCGGATGATTTTACAGTTAGATGGTGCACCGGCACACTTCGCCACAATCGTAAGAAACCATTTGGATGAAAATTATTCGCCGTGGATCTGACGTGCATCGCTGACTGACTGACTTAGTGCATCTAAAAAGTGGAAAAGAAAGTATATTCATGGTCTAGTTTTTTTGTAACATTGAAAAATTTGAAAAAATACATCATTTTTTATTGTTTTTTTTACGTTTCAAGTGTTTTTTAAAGATTTAAATGGGAGCTTTTGGTAAACTTTTTGAAGTCAACTTATTGCTTACTTTTTTAGCTGTCGAACGAAATCACTTTTATACTAATAGGTCCTGAACATCGGTAGATTTTGCTAAATAAATGAATCCACCCGGACTCAGAAACTAAAAAAATTAAAATAGCTGTAATTTTTTAATAGTAGGGATAAAAAAAAATATTCCAGTGGATTTGTCGATAAAATTGATCATATTACTGCGTCCTAACGGGTCGGATACCGGTGACCGGGCACACTGTATACTACGGTTACCAGTCATCTGTTCGAATGAGCGATATCAATCAAATAGGTGATCCTTCATAGGACGGCTTATAAAGTCAGACAGGTTCTGCATTGAAGACTAAATAAATGTTAATATACAACGTGTCCCAAAATTCAAGGATAAGCCGGCGCCGCAGGATGGACATAGTCATGACTACTTTAGGAAAAATAAGAAAATAAATCTATCTCAATTATTTTTTAAGTTACACAATACATTATGAAATTCGTCGAAAATTGACACCCCTTATGATATTTTACATTACCACGACTACAATTTTTCAAATACTTCTGTTTTTTTGTTTGTATCGGCAACTTAAGTAGTGCTGCTGTCCACTCCAATTCTTAAAACCCCCAGAATCCTTGCAGTTTTTACACAAAAGTTAATCAAAATATGATATTTCCTTAAAATTTTAAACGATTTTTACTTTCACTCCACTTTGACTCGTCGTTTTGTAAAAAAATAGTATGAACACTACTGCGGCAAGTTTATTATAAAGTTGACGCAACTATCCAAGATTCCAAAATGGTATAATACTCTAAGAAAACTAGTCGCAAAAAAGATATGCGTACCATTTTTACAAGCACTTCGCTTGTTAGTAGTATGGGATAAATCTTGCAACTAAATTTAAAACCAGTTCTCCTCAACCAATTGAGCTGAAATTTGGTATACTTATGTAAGTACGATGACAATGCAATATTATGGTATCATTGAGCTGGATGGAGTCTGGAGGTGGCCATAGGAACTTCTAAATGAAACGGCGGAATTGCATCTAGTTTAGGTTCGTTAGATTTGTCTTTTCAAGCACTTTGGTGCTAGATGATGTCCAGGATCCTGATGATGAAGTCAAGAGGTGGCCAGCTGGCCATAGGAACTCCTAAACGAAATAGTGTAAGTTTATCGAGTTTGGGTTCGTTGGGTTTGTCTTCTCGGGCACTTGGGCCATGAGATTGAGAAACAACTAAAAATTTTTTAAATAAAGTTATAATCGCGCATGGAGTTTATTCCTCTTTTTTTCTGTTTGCGCTACAAACTTTTGTGTAAAAACTGCAAGGATTCTGAGGGTTTTAAGAATTGAAGAGGACAGCAGCACTACTTAAGTTGCCGATACAAACAAAAAAACAGAAGTATTTGAAAAATTGTGGTCGTGGTAATGTAAAATATCATAAGGGGTGTCAATTTTCGACGAATTTCATAATTTATTGTGTAACTTAAAAAATAATTGAGATAGATTTTTTTTCTTATTTTTCCTAAAGTAGTCATTACTATGTCCATCCTGCGGCGCCGGCTTATCCTTGAATTTTGGGACACGTTGTATATGATAATATAAATGATAATTTTTGAGCCTTATAAACAAAGTTTATTTCTACGTTTCCAGGTGCCTATTTGGGCGCAGAGGGTCATCTACATTCAAGGATCGTGCCTAAAGGATACAGATTTGATCCGAGCACGCATGAATGAAGCCGAAGCATGCTTTGTTTTGGCGGCTAGGAACTACGCGGATAAGACGGCAGCTGATGAACACACTATCCTAAGGTAAGCATATCATGTTACCATAGATTCCGGAATTATCATGAATGATCGGTTATTATCCTGCTTTCGCCTCCGAGATTTATTTTACCATGTAGTAGTACCCCTGTACGACAACCCAATCCGCACACAATATTCAGCGTAGTAGTATTAAAAAACAAAAGAGCGGGCAACCCCACCCCTACCACGCTGTGGGCTCGGTGTCCGAGCGGTCTCATTCCTTTGTGCGCACGCGCAACGACCGCACGCAGTATAAGAAAAATGCTTAAGTGACGTCACCAGGACGTTTTTACCGACAAAAAACGTAATTATTTTAAGTTGTGCAGTGTAGTGACGAGAATTAGACCCAACAAAAGGTTGGTTGTAACAACTATTTTGTGCAAGTGCTCGTACATTTTTATTATAAGCGTTGTGACACGACGCGTAACTTTGACCCATTTTTAGCTCCAAGTTAACGCGCGATGTTAACCAGTAGCCATTTTTTTGCTCCGAGGTAATGCGAGATGTTACCCAGTAGCCATTCTTTTAATTGAATGATCAAACGAACTTACCAAGTGAAGTTCGATCTAAATTATCCTGTTTTCGCCGAAGAGATTTAAGGTCCCTCCCAACCCGAAGATTTCTATATCTTCTTCCCTGGAGGTAAACGTCAATGTCATCTCTTCTCTAAATATAATGAGACCGCTCGGACACCGAGCCCACAGCGTGGTAGGGGTGGGGTTGCCCGCTCTTTTGTTTTTTAATACTACTACGCTGAATATTGTGTGCGGATTGGGTTGTCGTACAGGGGTACTACTACATGGTAAAATAAATCTCTTCGGCGAAAACAGGATAATTTAGATCGAACTTCACTTGGTAAGTTCGTTTGATCATTCAAGAATTATGTAAAAAACTAAGACTTATTAATTCAGTGGGGTTTGAAGCAGACCGTCTCATTCGCATTTCGTAATGGCATGGTATATTATGCATGTCCAGCAATAGACTCTCTGTACCGAGGCAAGTGATGATGAAAACTATACCGAAGAAAAAGCGTTGTTAAAGCATTTGCCAATTTATGTTCATACTCAAATAACTTGACTAGTTGTTGAATCAACCGGCTTCAAAGTGAAGAAGGGTAAAAACCTAGTTTCCAGACACGTGCTTTAAGTTAATTGGAATAAATGTAGCGTTTTTAGGCCTCTCAACATTGGCCTTCATTGAAGAACATAAGTAAACGAATACGTGCGCGTGTGAGACACTATCAATGTATTTAGCCAAAGTAAGAACTACTTTCACTTTTAATCTCTATGTTTCAGATCATGGGCTGTGAAGGATTTCGCACCCGATGTACCCCAGTACGTGCAGATATTTAGACCTGAAAACAAATTGCATGTCAAATTCGCCGAGTTCGTGGTCTGTGAAGATGAGTTCAAGTATGCGTTGCTTGCGAACAATTGCACATGCCCTGGCGCCTCTACCTTGGTAACGCTGCTTCTACACACTAGCAGAGGACAGTGAGTAAGAATTAATCTTTCGATAGAGCGTAATTTCGCTGAATTTTGGATATAAATACCTGTTTAGATAGGAATGTATAACTGAAAGATTGTGATGGCGCTTGACGTAATTGGCAAGTGAGAATACTGTGAGCTACAAGATGTAGATGACGGGAAAGGCGACGACGACGTCGCGAGGTAGCAACGGGAGCATCATCGTGCAATAGAAAATTTGTTCCCCGCAGGAAGGTAACGAGAAAAAATATCGTGTAAAAGAAAATTTCTTGCCACCATTTTATGGTAACTAATAACCAATAATGAACTTTTTTTTTAAATAAAACCGACTTCAAATGCGTGAACACAAAAAAAAACTAAAAATTAAAAAAATTTGATAATACCTATTCAACAAAAAAATAATCGTTCAAATTGGTTCATAATCGGCGGAGATATTGCGTATAAAAAAGTTCATCCCCAATTTTCCACCCTTGGGGGTGAAAAATTTTCCTCAAATTCTCATGAAACCACCCTTTTGATAATACCTATTCAACAAAAAAATAATCGTTCAAATTGATTTATAATCGGCGGAATATTGCGTATAAAAAAGTTCATCCCCAATTTTCCACCCTTGGGGGTTGTTTTTTCTATTATTAAATTTAAATGGGACCGCCCTTAAGGTATTACCTATACGCCGAAAAAAGATTTGTTCAAATCGGTTCAAAATTGGCGGAGTTATCGCGTAACAAACATAGAAAAAAAAAACATACGGGTCGAATTGAGAACCTCCTCCTTTTTTGAAGTCGGTTGAAAAAGGTAAACGTTGATTTCGAGGAAGAAGCCACTATTTATTTTGTCATTGCTCGACTATCATGTAGGCGTAAGGGCTTCCTAAATCTCCGTCTGTCTCCGTGAATTGAACAAACAATTTATGCCACTCTACATAGACTCACCAAATAATTAAGTTTGAAGAAATTTCATAAAGCAAGTACGTATATAGATATACTAATATGTATATTGTTTGTCCATCGCTTTTTTATTAATAACCATAAGCAATTAAGCCTAAAGCTCCACATGGTTCGCACATTGTATACAATCGAACCGCAAAAGTAAGATGAAAAATGTTCACTAGTTCCAATAAAAATCGCAAGGAACTAATGACAAGTTTCACTAGTTTTACCGGGACTACTTCCACCGGAACTGGTGAGAACAAAGGGAAAGAAAGACACAGGAGCCGGCACGAAGAGTCAATGCGGATTGCAAGATGGCAAACAAAAAACAGCAACCTATAAGATTCCTCAATTCAAATGTAGGACAAGACCTAGTCTGTCAGCAGATAAATTCAATATGTGGCAGAAAATTCTCGTCACACAGCGTTTATCATTTGATCTTGGTACCTAGTAATAAATAAAGCAAAACAGCATGCTATAGTCTTTCAGTGATCGAAATCCACGCGAGCAAACTTGCCGGCAATTGCTAGTAAAATATAAGATCATTATGTCTACAACACACGACTTCGAGCATTTGCACTGCATCTCTGATCCGACCGTCATAATGTAACCCTTTTGGTACGAGTAGCACGTACAACACGTACGTTAGGAAAAATATCTTTGCGATTTACAATACGTAGATCTACATAATTCCGTAGCGTTAGAGTAAATCTGATAGTCTTATGATACCTGTGTGTTATGAATTCTAAAGTTTCAGAGAAAGATTTCGTGATTCTTGTAATTTTAAGTCAAGGATACCTAACTAATCATTACATCAATCACCTGCTAATCCAATCATGTTAATTTGGTAATGATTTTCAGAGAAGGCCAACAATCGCCGGAGGAGTGGCATCGGCTTTACGGAAAATGCTCCGGAAATGAGATATATCACATCGTTTTAGGGGACAGTCGATTCTTTGGAGAATACGAAGGAAAAAGCTTCACTTACGCTAGTTTTCATTCCCACAGGAAGTAAGTCATTAAAACATAATAGTTCTATTAATATCATCTCTATTTCTATTAACTTAATATCTTTATAAAGGTATGGCGTGGCGTTAGTTGGTGTACGCCCAGCTGAATTGCCAGAATTTTACGAGGACACAATATTACTGAACCCTGGACCTCGACACATCATGAAAAGTAGCGACACCTGCTACTACATGAGTATAACAAAAGAGGAAAACTCAGCTTTTGTTGTTTCCGAGAAACAAACGGAAAACAGACCGACTATTCCCAAAGATCAAACGACATGTAGCCTTCTTTCGAACGAGAAGAAGCCAGTCGATGAAGAGGAGGGCTCTGGCCAGCAGAAAAAACCAGACGGTAGTAGCGTCGCTCAATACGAACTCCCACAAGTGATTCTCCAAGCTCCCGCGAGTTCCACACCAAACGCATCGCCATCACGCATCAATCAAGCTAATACCGTATCATCCGCTAATTTTACTGTCGCTAGCTGTGAGTGTCACAGTTGGTTAATTGCCTCAAGCAGTTCGAATACATATCCAATATTTCCAAGTGATAATGTCTTCGAGCTGTTTTTTACTGTATTTATTATTTGCTTAACGTGCTCCATTTCGAAAAGAGATCCATTTTAGTAATGAACTATTAAATTTGAAAGGATAATGGAGCAATGCACTCACTTCCTCTGTTTAAAAGATACACACGACAGCGAAGATGTATTTATCTCCTTGATAACTATTCATAATACTTAATTAACATAAAGTATCTTAACAGTCACATACGTTTTTCACAAATGCAGATAAGTCTGTCTTCGCTTCAGTTTATATTAGACTAGGTTTATCAATAAGTAATTCAATAAACTATTGAAAGTCCAGATGGCAGCCTCCACAGGTCAGGTCAAAACTATGGGCGGTGAGTGCGCTTTGTGTTGGTTGAGACAAAATAATGTCGTTTTCCGTATTTCACATTCGAAATTCAATTTAACATTATCGATTCAATTTATGCATGTTTTGATGTTCAATAAAACCATGCAATTCAGTACAATTAAGGGATTTTTTTCACCTTTAATATTCGTATCAATTACGTCGACTATCATCAAGCCACTTAGCTTCCTTGTACATTCACAGAGTGTCTTGCACTAAGATTTGTTTTAATGATAGGTAGTGAATTGGTTGTCTTCAGCAGTTTAAGTCTTAGCGTGAATGAGTACTACACTCGACAGCAAATAAATCGCACCACCCGCGACGCGAACTTTAAAGATTTTCTTTTGACACAATAATGGTGCCCCAACAATATTGGTGTTATTTGAAAGCCCAATAAATATCCTTAAAGAAAAACACATTAATTTCTTAATAAATGATTAACATATACCATAAATGTGACTTGAAAAAAGACCTCACTTTGGGCTAGGGTTGCCAACTATACTGTTTTTAACAGTATTATACTGTTTTTCACTAAATTATACTTTTTACTGTTGAACAAAAATAAAGTATACAAAATACTGTTTTCAGCTAGCATCACTAGAATCCATAGATATTTTTAAAAGTAAATGCCCAACACCACATTTAAGTACGCGTTGTAGAGCTATACTGTTTGTTTTTTTTAATACTGTCTGTTTTCCTTCTCCGACCTCTAATATACTTTATATTTTGAAAGAAAAGTTGGCAACCCTACTTTGGGCTCACCTCTGGGATCAATTAGACCAAATTTTATGGTTATAAAACCAAATAATGATCACACGTGTCCTCTTTAACAGATGGATAGCGATTAATCCCAACTTAACAGTTTTATAGCCATAAAAGTTGGCTATCTATTTTTTGAAGAAGTGACTCTGGATCCTTCTAAAGAAACATTTTTGAGGTAAAAACCTTTCCTATAATGAAATGAAGTTTAGAACTAGGCTTTTGAATGGTACCAATATTGGTGTGAAGTGGGGATGCATACGTTTGAAAGTGCTTGTCGCGGGTGGTGCGATTTATTTGCTGTCGAGTGTATATCGCATACACCGAACACGATGGAATCACCATGTAGGTTTTCTCCCTTATTTATTGTTTTTATCGTAATACTTTTTTTCCTAGTTTAATGTTATTCGTTTTACCTTAAATTTTCTTTATTTGTGGTTATTCTGAGAAGTGGTAATTGTTTTTGATTTTAGAAACTATCCTAAACGATATGACTCTCTGCAGACAGACTGACTACACAGTTAAATACCTAAAATATAATACGTTTATATTAGGTTTTGAAAACGTTTGTGGAAAAACAAAGTTTTTGAATCTTACATCTACTCGTAGTTCGGAAATCGGAAGAAAATGGCCTAGTGGTCCATTATAAGATTGTCAATGTTGTTCTATCACTGACTTTGCTGTAAATAATGAGCGTTTTGTAGAAAATGTATCTCAATTTGGTAGTTATAAAAATCACTTTTTTCTCTCTTTTCACTACACAACAGACGGCTAAGTGGCTAGATGTTACTTACGATCACCCACCACGCGCAAAGTTACTCATAACTTACACCCAACATAAATATGTACTTACAAAGTTATACTTATTCCAACTTTGCGTCTGGTTATTTTTAGATCTGTGTCGTTATTGTACTCGTATTATTTATAAAACAATTTTCATTATGCTGGTTTTACAATTGGTTTGTAAATGTTTTGCAACAATATCGTAGTTATGCAGTTTGAAATTCATTTATTATACTCGCTAACATCACAACATGGCATTATACATATTCGAGTTTCATTTGGTTAATTCAATGAAAACCCTCTTAATTAATTTATAAAATAACTCAAAATGATTTATATTTTGAACTTATACAATGAAGAAAACGTGTTAATGATATATTTGTTTTATTTATACAGCTAAACTTGGCGAAGGCACTTCCACGTCAGACTCTAGGACTTGTTTGAAGGATTCGCCGGGCACTGACAGTGCCACTGACAGCCATTTGTTGTTGCCAAAGCCTGACAATTCCAATTTTCTGAGTCCAGACGCTTTGAACTTCAGGAGAGGTAACTTAGTTTAGTTGGGTACACTCGTAGGTACTTGCAGAAATAATCATAAAAATTCAGGCCATGAAATTGACGAAGCCTTAATTAAGAAAATGAGATCCTATAATTGATTTCAAAGATCTATAACTAAAAATTGTTTTTACATTACTTTCAAATAGAAATAACCTGAAATTATCACAACCAATATTCCCAGATATCGTCCATTTCCATGATGCACTAAATCGTTTTGTGAATTTCTTATACAACAGGTAGCAGGAGGCCGTCAATTTTGCCAGTTCCTGACATGGTGACGAGCAGTCTCAATAACATCCCCTCTGACAATCAAGATGAGGGTGCGGATCACGAAGACGAAAGCGAGGACGAACTGGAGGACGATGTCCCATGGAGGTCTCCCTCAGAGAAAATTGCGTAAGCACAAACTTTAGCTATGCTTTAGATGCATCCCATATGCACGCCGAAATCTTTCTTACATACTCTATTGTTTATTTAATTAGTTTAAGCCCGTCTCCGTTCAATCTCAACGTAGTATTAGAAATTTTTGAGTTACGTTTAAGGTAGGACTTTTAATATTCACATGAAGCCGATATCATTTTTATTATTGATTTCAGCATTATTATTTAGTACTGACTCGATTTTAGTTAAAGATTCATTGATAATTTCACGAATTATTCCACAATTTAGTGGAAAATTCATTTTTGTTCTTTTTATATCACCCTCTTTAGCCTTTATTCACTCTTATATAGATAGCAGTCCAGGATCACGCAAGCTGCATGAAAACTGCACACACATCATTGTTTCATGTAAGTGTTTGCTTTGTCTTTGATTTCTTTGCAACGCTTTATTCATGTTTATTTCCTTTTGAAAATACGTAAGTAGTCAGTGGAGTAGTATTTACCTACATTAAAACATTTCAAAGAAATTCCAATAACTTACTTTACTTTTATATCATTATGTAAGTAAGCGTTTCTTTTAGGTATTAGCTTTTTCTTAATAATTAATCAGCCTTAATAACTCTACTGTTGCTACTTTTCATGCCTCTATAATTTTATAAGCTTTAAGATTTAAACTGACCAGTATTACAAAAAGATGTTCGAGAAGGTCTGAATATTTCCGCTCTCTTTAAGTGGAATAGACATCACAATAGCTGACTTATGTACTATAGAATTTAATTTAAAATCAGAGGATTCAGAAGTTGACATAGCTATTAGTTTTCGTTGGCCAGTTTAATGCAACATGTAAGATAATTATGTTTTTTGTTTGATGCATTTTTGTCTGCACTAAAGCCACGTTATTCCATAGTTAAATACACTATCTTCTGATGCAGATACTTGATTAAGTTTTCTAAGCAATTGTGTGCATTGTGTATCTGTAACCCCCTGAGCGTAATTCCCAACTGCACGGCCCGTCCCTGCTCCAGCGATGACATCACCACCAGCAGTTTCTCGTCTCTGGCCGGCAGTGACGTCGCGCACAGCGCCTGGCGAAACGACTTCACTAGGTAAGCCTCAAAAGGAAAATAAATTCATCTACCCACAAAACGCATCGTTGTTGGTATAATCCATTGACTGAACTTTTTTCGAAGATCATGGACAAAAAAGTTATCCATTTTCAAAATATCATTATACTGTTCGTAGATACTTGTGACTATTACTTGATGACATTGATTTGTAAGGTAAAGTAACTACTCGTAAATATTGTATAAATTAGACCCTTTAAATACCTTATTATTCACAGTGGTAAACTTATGTTTATCTCTGCACATGTCCTTAATATTATCAAGCATGTGACGTCCGTTTTGATGTTGAATGTTAGATTTATCAGCACTAAATTTAGAAATATTCACAGACCCTTTCACCTGTATGTCGTATGTTATTTCCTTATCGGATGTTAGTTGTAAGTGTCCAATAGCAACCCTCAGTAAGTATTTATTGAGGTTTTCTGATTATTTCTTATTTTGAATTTTATTATCTAATCCAACGTTATTTTATTCTCGCTTTGCTTCGATGCCTTTAAGATGTTATTTTCTTTAATAAATCAATGTTTTCTTTCGCGGTCGTTAGCTGTTTAACGATATAACTATGAGAATTTTCCAGGATCGTGAAAGGATTTCCGCCAGTATCACCATTTATTGGAGTGAGTCCGACGCTGTGCTACCTGTTGAAGGAGAAGAAACCGCTTTGCTGCTTGCAGCTGGCTCAAGTTTGTGAGCACTGTGCATACCGAAACGCAAAAGAGTACCAATGGCAAAACAAAACGATTATACTCGCAGCGGACTACGCTTCCAATGGGATTTACAACTTTATAATTCCACTGCGAGCGCACTTTCGCTCCAAGACTTCGTTAAATCCTATCATTCTATTATTGGAAAGGCGGCCCGATATAGCATTCTTGGACGCCATTTCTTACTTCCCTCTGGTATATTGGATGTTGGGATCTATTGATTGGTAAGTATACTGATATGTATCATTATTTATACTATTGGCAGTAAGTAGCTATTAAATTAGCTTTTTCCATTAATCAGAATGTTAATACAAATTAAATAAGTGTTGTTAAAAGGATAACATTGTTACAGCTTAGACGACCTATTACGTGCCGGCATCACCTTGGCTGAGAACGTCGTTGTGGTGAATAAGGAACTATCGAACTCCGCCGAAGAAGACAGCCTCGCTGATTGCAACACCATCGTAGCTGTTCAGACCATGTTCAAGTAAAGAGTTCTGATCCAAATGATAGCATTCTATATACTTAAGCTCATGCGAATATATAATTTTGATAATGTTACGCTAGCGAATTCCTATTGTTACCTACTATGTATTTTTTTTTAATTTTTGAGATTTCCCTCTGGCTAACGATAGTATTATCATACAAAGTAACGCCTGCTATACACTCCAAAGGCAGGCATAAACGTAATTTTTGGAGCTAGTGCGAATATATCTCTTTTATAGTTTTTACACGTTACACCTTTTTATTTCAGATTCTTCCCATCGATCAAATCCATAACAGAATTGTCACAATCATCAAACATGCGATTTATGCAATTTCGGGCTCACGACAAATACGCGTTACACCTCTCAAAAATGGAAAAGGTCTTTTTCGTAGACTAAAATAATTTTCTTGTATATAATTATTATTTGTTATTTTCATCGACTGAGTAACCAACATAGAACATTTATATTTTACAGCGTGAAAAAGAACGAGGATCACATATCTCTTACATGTTTCGACTGCCGTTCGCGGCCGGCTCGGTCTTTTCTGCCTCAATGTTGGACACGTTGCTGTACCAAGCATTTGTAAAGGATTATGTCATAACATTCGTTCGACTCTTGCTGGGAGTAGACCAAGCGCCGGGATCAGGGTTTCTTACTTCGGTAAGTTATGATATGAAATAATCACAGATGCAAAGTTTAACCTACTGCGTCGTTAATTTTAAATATGCTGGCGAATCGTGCGATATCACTACCACCGCCATCATCACTCACATCTTCTAGCGAATTGATATTAAACTTTGCGAATGCCATGTTAATGAATTTACAATGCGTATACATAATCAATTGAAATTGTAACAGATGAAAATTACGAAGGAAGACATGTGGATCCGTACATACGGTCGGCTGTATCAAAAATTGTGTTCTACGACCTGCGAAATCCCAATAGGGATCTATCGTACTCAGGACACTAGTCTCACTGATCCCTCTCACCACGTGAGTATGTCGCCACGGACCCCATCAAACTGGTTTTGGTCACGCCTCGCGAGAATGCGACCATCGCGTGCCTCGGTGAGTTGGTTCACTCCTACTCTCAGATACTTCTCTCCTTAAATACAGTCCTTTACCTCCTGCCATCTATCTCTGACCGCTATTCAAATATTACACCAATTTTAAACTTCGTACCTAAAACCATTGTGATAAAGTGTAGTAGTCCGAGTCTTTGGACTGTATTTCGGGTTAAAGTTTTGATTCTTTTTTATCTTTATTCCGCGTCAGCGTCACACTTTTTCCATTTTATTGATCTATTTACATAATATACATCTGAGCCTAACACTTGTGGCGTGTCTGTAATTTAGTATAGTGTTTACAAACTTTATATTTCTCACGCGAAACTTTGTTTTGTCTTATAAAGTACACGTGCTTTAACTTTATGATTTATCGCAAACTGCTAATAGCCAACGAGGTTGAAATAATTGAATTGCTTTAGCGCGGACACATTTAAATCAAAACAGTACATCCATACAAAATCAAGATCGCTCTACGGCTGGGAAAATTGGCATAAAATGATTGTGAGAGTGAATATCACGCACATCTCCGTCTGTTCCAACTCGATGATCGCAGTCCCGCCTCTGTGTTGTGTTCGTAGTGTGTGTTCTGCATGTTTTGTTATAGAAACAACTCAGTAATAGTCTCACAACTAGAACATCTGAAAATTTGAATATTCCATTGAATTTGACTTAAGATGATGAATTATAATTCCAAACAATCAGCATGAAAAGACAGTCGTTCCTTCAAATGACAAGAATTTTAATTCAGCGTCACAAAGGAAAATGGTTCAAGTATAGTTAAGTGGAAATTGATAATAGAAATCCGAAAAATGCTTTTGCTTATTGCATGCTTTCTCTAATGCAGTTGAAACCCACACGTACTGAAACCTCATTCTTCATAAGATTCAATCCTTCATAGTTCAGAACAGTTAAATTTGGATGAACGATTTATGTGATTTTTATACGTTTAAAACAGTAATTGGCACCAAAATTGTTGAATATGGGTGTGATTGGTAATATTGGTATTGATTGCGAGTAATATAGGAAACATTGGAAAAAACTATGACGCGATAGTTGCAGCAGGAGGATGGCGAGGGCGGAGGTTTGGGGGCGTGCGGGCGCCGGGAGGCCACTAGCTGCCTCGGCGGCTGCTACGGGGAACGCACGCCGGCGGTAAGGTCTCTAGCTCTACCAAACAGTGTCACAATCCATTCGAAGAAAACTCCGCTTAGTACTCCTGTAAAGGTACAGTGCGTATAAACCCGCGATTTGTTCGTAAACAGACGATCACGAATCTTTCGAAATCTTTGGATTTAAACGTAAATTGCCTTTGAAAATCGCTGAATAGTGATTTAAATTAAAAGTGATTCCCTATGCTACTACAAAAAGTAAGTAGGTATTTATTACAGTAAAACGTCAAATAATGCAAGGACGTTAAAAAATTGTGTGATGTATGAGTCCTCAGTAAGCAAACCTGCGAATTATACCGCAAACTAATGTGAAACAAGATATAGTCAAATATTATTCAGATAATCATAATAAATATAAACTGCTCTAGCTGTGTTTGTTGGTAAAAATTTCAGGTGTGGAGCGAAATTAGCAATTTTTAATGCAACTTGTATGTACCTGCAGGAAAACTAAGTGGACCATGTAAGGATCAGGACCGTGTGTATATTGTTTAGATATAAATATCACTTCAAAACGTAATAAAGTTAATTACTTATAAGTATAATTATTAGCTCAGATGGAAGAACAGTCGCCCGGCAAGGGAATCGTCGTGGGTTCGATCCGCCTTAGGCAGTTCGAGATTTTTCAAGTTATTTATAATTTAGTTTGAGATTCACCTCTTAACGGAAAAAATTAATAACTATCGTTATTATTTGTCCAGTTTATTTATTGATTTAAGCTTTGTGCACATAAAAGTGATGTACATTGGCAGACTTAATGTCCGGTGGCATTCTCTACCAGTAAACAGTTTATGTAAGCGTTAAGGCTTTAATTGAGTAAAAATAAATTTAAGCAACAAAAAAGTGATGTCCAGCTTCCATTTCCGAATAGTTGCATTGCTTTATTCTCCACGATGCCTATTTTAAAGATTTGTCAATTTAACTATACCTATCTGAAACTATACACGTGGTCCTGAAACTTGCCGTACTTTCAATCGTGAATGGATTCTTACGCTCATGGTTAACTTTTGGGACTTACAATCAAAATTTCTATTAAAACAATGAAAATTCTTTGTTTATATGTACTTTTATTTTTAAATAATCTGAGCTCATACGGTTATCTAATAAATCTATTGGGGATGACAACGACTACAGATCTAATGGATTAGGTGTTTTTTGAGCACAACGGTAATGACATAGACCAAATGATGTTATCGGAAGATGAATTGACTGACCCTTACTCATATTTCCCATATCATGTAGATCTCGGATTATGTAGTTGCAAAGTCTGCATTCTCGGACACAGATAACCCACACTTTTTTGAGTGGGTATGTAACCGGCATCATCATAGATCTCAAAGGTCAATGAATGCAAGACACATCAGTGATCATCAAGGGCTGTTGATATGCTTGCGTATGCTGCCTGCTTGGCATATGCATATGCAAACACATTCAGCTTCACTAAAGTGTACACTTCTGATGGAGCACCACTTGAATTGGTGGAAGACAATGAGGATGAAGAAGTAGACCCTCAGGGCGCCGGACTTAAATCAAAGGATCCCTCAGACTGGTGCCTCCTGATTAAGTCAAATAGAGAAGTGATTCCTCCTGAGGTCAAGAAATACGTACTTAAATTGACATAGGGATCCAAGATGCCAGAGAAGGTACCATTGACCATCACCTGTCACGTGTCTGCAGGTGCATTTATTTGATCTCTAAAGTAGCTTTATGAAAAAAATACAGCTAACTAATACCTATTTGAAATTAAAAATCATTCGACGTTTTTTATCCAGCGGTAAATAGGCAAAATGAAATCATGTATAGGTACTGTCAATTCAAATTTAGGGCACATAATTGAAGGGTGGGAGAAGCCACAAACACGTCTATTGCCTCGCTATCCGCATCCAAAATTACCCACAATTTTTTCTAAAGAATTACCTACTTCATTGATTCATTATTTGTAAAAACAGATGAAATTTTCAAAAATTGTAGCTTGAAATAAAGTAAAAAGAAGCAGTGTTCACACTATGTCGGGCTGTCAGATTTAAGGTGAAGATAAATGTGTCTTACTTAATTGCCTTCATGGTGTGTTTCTATATCTCTGGTTACAACAAGGACATCCGATAGACTATTGGAGACGACACATTTATTGGGCTTTTTGTTAGAGCTTTGCATTTCGCGGTTCACACATACTTAATGTCGGATAGTCATGCACTCCCACATGCGCATTGCCCTCGACCATGTAAGCAGCTGCTTTGAGACAAGCCGGCACTATCAACCATTGTAAGCAGCTGCTTTGAGACAAGCCGGCACTATCAGAGTGTAGGCACGACAGTGTGAACAGCAAATTCGACTGCCAAGTGACGAGGAAACTGCCGGCTTGACAAAGTGTGAAGTTACATAGATATAATAGGAGGAGGGTCTTTAATCGTGGAATTATTAATGTAACCTTCTATCTTTGATTCTTAAATAACTAAATTATGGTAACGCCGAATTTTAATAAGTGAAGAGACAGTTTGACACCATACCCCAATAATTCGAAACCACAACTGTTTTAAAAAGACCCTTCATTCTGGTCTTAAAAACTTAATTTATTTTAAATTACCTGTAAATTACGATTTTTGTTCGCATTGTAATTGAAAAAAGTTGTTTAATTGAGTTGACAAAATAGTGACGTCACTTGCTTGTAGTGCCATACAAAATGTATGGGAGAGTTTCGTTTTGACAGTTTTAAAATGTACGTCAATTGACTGTGGTGCCAACATGTCTATTGACTAGAGGTGGGCGNCCACCGACAGTCAGCTAATCCAACATTAATTATGTGCCTCCAAAGAGCTCAAAAATACATGTTAAAGGTACTTTTATCGGCACATTGTTACGCTCGCCTTTAGGAAGTACACGAGAACCTGATCTCAGTCAAACCCGCTATCCAAATATCAAAGTACCTATATGATCAAGAGAGCTAATTTACTAGGGTAAACCATTGCTCTAGTGGCTCAAACTGCAAATCACCTGATTAGTCTTGACGACAGATATTAAAAAAAAACAGATTTAAAAAAATACCTCCTAATGAACAAAGGTCAAACAAGGTCACGCCGCCGACGCCGCCGCCGCCGAGGTCAAAAAGTCGGCGCGCCGCCGCCGGCCAATTTTATATCGGCGCCCACCTCTACTATTGAGGTGAGAGATTCCATCCCACTGTAATACAGAGATAAAATATTTTGCAAAATTGTAAATTGTTCCTAAAACATTTTTCAGCTCCCCGCACTTCTTTTATGCAGCTGTAATAGTGATCAATGGTGTAATGTATCGATTTAGTACCTTATTTCAACATTAGGTAGCGCCAAATACCCCCTCCCCTGAGTAACTATACTTAGCCAACTGCCTCACCAAAATCTTGAAAATTTCATCTTTTTACTTAGAAACATCGCTCCGTCTATTTCCATCATTTTCCAGTCACATCATTAGTGACATTCGAGCAGTGGAGAGAGTTTATGCACCCAACGAAGTATGACAAAAACATTGGGTTCAAAAATAATGTTGTATTCATACCTACCCTTAGATGGAATGGACATACCTTACTATGTTCATTAATTTAGCTGTAGAATAGTACTTAGCCAAGTTTATGTGGTAGTTCTGTCTGTGTTCTTCGCACGAACACATTCAAAAATTTAGCTTTAGTATTTGTATTACCTACACAACACAATCAATAAAGCTAGTTCATCCATAGGATTTTATGCCTGTTGAAAATTAAGCAATCTTGCATGTTTGGTATAGGCATCAACAATATGTAAATATTGCACTTGATATGGTTAGTGTCCACCAATATGAAGGTCTGTACTAGATGAATCAATATTGTTAATGCGTATACTAAATGTTTCTAAGTTTTATTCTAAGGACGACTTTGAGTTTATTTCTACTTCACAGTATTCTACTAGTCTCGCCGACGAAGCTAGAGATAACCATGCTCAGCAGATTGAAAGGGCAGAAATAGCAAACTTAGTCCGATCAAGGATGGAGTCATTGAATCTAACTGGAATAGATTATGATGACGTAAGCGAAAAACGAAACAGTCTTTCGTACGTCATAATAAACCCTAGCTGCGATTTGAATTTGCAAGAAGGCGATATAATGTATGTATTGAAATAATGGTTATGGTTAATTTTGTGAAATTTCGTGTTATACAGACGCTTACGTTTCAGATACTTGGTCCGGCCGTCCCCGTTCTCAGCGCAAAAAACCTTCGAGCGACACAACAGCAGGCGCAAGTCAAACATCAGCTTCTGTTCCCAAGCTCTGATACAAGCGCAAGGAGTGGCCAGCAGGAGGGGCTCCGGGATGGGCGCGAGCTTCAACCAACCTCGTGCTCCGCCCTTGTCCACTCAAAAGGCAAACTCTTTGTCTCTCCCTGATAGTCCAACAATCATTACCGACTTTCGCGGACGTTCAAATTCGCTGCGTGTAGTTGATGACATTCTTCTCCGCCGCTCCAATTCCTTGCGTCAAGGACTGAGCGGGGCTGGCTCGCGACGCAGGAAAAGCAGCCTTGAGGAAATTGGAATTTCACATTTTAACTCACTTTTACAACATCAACAACAGCAGCAGCAACAGAATGCAAATGCCATAAAAATTGCACTGAACGGCAGTATTGGCTTGGAAGTGACGCCGCCAGAGGAGATGCCGGAGCGCCTGCCAGGCCCCAGCATGCCTCTCGGCGGCTACCAGGAGATGGCCGCCGCGCTGCCGTCGACGTCTGTCGGCCCGTCCCTGCCGCCAGCTGCGACCCCCGACCCCCAGCATCTGCAGGGGACTATTGTATGATACCACCTTATGTGGGGACGTCGACTTAGCTCCGTGGTGAGGAACAAATGGACGTAGATTTAAACCCATGCTCGTTTATGTCGATCTCGATCTCCTCTGTATCCGTTAGTAGGTACACTCGTCCATTGATCTTCGGAGTATATCAAACTCGTAGCGTCTCTACGTTTAGAAGTAGTATAAGTAGATATTATTGTACATTTTCTTAAATTAATATGTAAATTAATACCTTTTAAACATGATTAGTGGTGTAGACTGGTGGTAAAGGAGCTGTGTAATGTAAGCGGGATCAACTAGTTTCTACTTAAAGGGGATAATTGTCAGCAGAAAGCTGATTGTAAATATTAAAGCTTTATTTCCTATATGAATACATGAATTGTATTGTATATAATGGAATGGTTTTAACAAAATTAAATGTAAGTATACATATTAATAGAAACTTAACGCCAGAGATGCAATTTTCTAAAGTTGTTGACCAAACGGACAGAACTACATGTAATCACGTTATCAATTGATTCCAGTATAGATTCTACTACAGACATTCTTACGTATATCATTAGATTTGTTGTCTAAATCAAATATTTATTCACATAGCGTCAGATCCAGATGATATAATAAAGTAATACTATATCTTAAAATGCGTTTTAATGACCTACCTATTCACATTTATGTTTTTCACATGACGAAGGCAGAAAATAAAGATCTGGATGCCGTGGAATTCGTTCAAAACACTTAGGAAAGTTTTAATAGACTTGACAGTTAAAAATAATGAAGAATACTCGTATGTTAATGATAATTACACCGCCAATCTTTATAAGTGAATACAATTATTTTCTTTTGAGAGATAGTGTGATTGCAGGCTGCGTTGCAATTATTCGCAGTTAAACCGCGAAATTACTATTTAGTATTTAGCAATCTGAACAAAATTACATTTAATCAGATACTATGGTGCAATAGATTACATCGGACAGGAAATCCCCAAAGTAATAATGTTCTTTCATAAAAATAGATGTGCATTGTATATCATATCAATTATCGTAAATATATTTTTATAGAATGGGATTAAACATTATTGACAATACTTAATTTATTGTTAGCTTTTCAATTCTAAAGTAATAAAAATCTTCCAGATTCCAATATCAATATTAAGTGAAGAAATGCATCAAGAACCAAACTATGTAAGTTCTAGATTAACAATATCACAGACACAATATGGCATCGTGTGGAATATTGGTTGCGTCTTGCGAGTATCATCTATGTTTTTACGACAGCGAAAAATAAATGTTCATAAGAGCTATGACAGTTGAATAGTTTATAGTCATCACGTCGAGCGGCTACCGACGGTTCGTGGACACCGGTAAGTATTTATTTATTTGATGGTGCCCATTAGAGCAGATAGAGAAGAATACTCCATGAATTGATACCAGAAAATGGCCAATAAGTATATACCTGAAAATGAAGACAAATGTTCAAACTAGGTCTCGTAGTAATACACCAAGTATAACTACTCCTTACAATGTTTGAAAATTAATTGAAACCATAGAGCACCGCTTCGAACGTGGGATAAGCAGAAAATACAACACGAAATACCTGTAAGATTGCCTGTTTATTGACAAAGCTCACAAGTTCTTTGCAGCTAATCGTAATCTTGAAAGTTGAAACGTAATTGAAAGTAATTAAAAGAGATGTAATTTAAATTACCATTTGCAAAAAGTAATAGGAATATCAACACAGTCGGAAAAAATCTAAACTGTTACCGTTGTATATCAGTATTATTAGTTGTTCGCGCTATAATGGCTAATTATTGAAGAAGCGCCCTACAATTAACTTACATCCTACAAGTCAAATGCAGCCTACATAAAAAACCTAGCCGTCCTGAAATACATAGTAGGCACTCTCAGTTAGGTATTTCAATTAAGTTCCACCTAAATTTTTGCCGATGTTTAGAAATACTGGTTTAACAATTGACCCCATAAAGTTGCTTTTTCAAAGGTCATGCTGACAATAGTGCGGTACTACGAGGGCTGCACTAAAAGTATCGGGAATGGAATATTTCCACTGTTCCAGTCATATTAAAATCTATTTCATTGCAAACTCCAGGGTTTTAAAAATCGTATACCATTTATTTATTTTAAAAAAGATTCTCGGTCGTATCACAAGATCTTGTCAAACTTGTTTAGTCGTTGAGAAAATGGAATTGACTTAAGAAAATTCAAGAGCGATGATTTATTATGACTTTTGAAGTGGTTTAACACAAAAACAGTGTGTTGACCGGATGATTTCTGCATTTGGTAATGAAGCCCCATCCAAAACCACAATTTATCGCTGGTTTCCTGAATTTCAACGTGGACGTGTCAAGCTCAGTAATGATCCCCGTCAAGGTCGTCCAAAAACTGCAGTCACCTAAGAAAACGTTGATGCTGTGCGTAAGCTGATTGAAGAAGATCGACATGTGATATACCGCGAAATTCAGGCAACTTTAGACATTGGCATGAGTCAAATACAAATAATCTTGCATGAACAATTAGGTGTAAAAAAGTTGTTTTCCCGATGGATACCGCATTCGCTCTGTGAAGAGCAAAAAGCGGCTCGCGTTACTTGGTGCGTCAGAACTCTCGGGAGATTACATGCAGGATCCTCAAATGCTGTATACAACATCGTATCAGGTGACGAATCATGGATATACGCGTACGAACCCGAAACAAAAAACCAGTCACGAGTTTGGGTGTTCGAAAATGAATTAAAGCCAACAAAAATTGTTCGTTCACGGAGTGTTGCAAAAAAAATGGTGGCCACGTTTGTCTCCAAAACCGGCCATGTTGCGACTATTCCTCTTGGGGGACAAAGAACTGTTAATGCAGATTAGTATGCTAGCATTTGTTTGCCACAGGTCGTTTCTGAACTCCGTAAAGAGAACTGCAACCGCCGCATCATCCTCCATCACGACAATGCGAGTTCTCACACCGCGCACAGAACAAAAGAGTTTTTAGAGCAAGAAAACATAGAATTATTAGTCCATCCGCCGTACAGCCCCGACCTAAGCCCTAATGATTTCTATACTTTCCCTAAAATAAAGAATAAATTGCGTGGTCAGAGATTTTCATCACCTGAAGAAGCTGTGGAAGCCTATAAAACGGCCATTTTGGAGACCCAAACTTCCGAATGCAATGGTTGCTTCAATGATTGGTTTCGTGTATAGAAAAATGTGTCAAAGTTCGCGGAGAATACTTAAAAAAGCAATAAATACATTTTTAAATAGTAATGTTGTTTCACTTCCTTGATTCCCGAAATTTTCAGTGCCGCCCTCGTAACTACCTGTTTACTGGAATATTTTTATTTAATTGAACGAAACGACTGCAGGCTCAGGGATACAATAATGGGAAATGGCTAGGGCAAAGAAGAAGAACGACTCCAGGGTTACGGCTTTACTAAGTTTTCCGGTTTGTTTTCAGGCTGGAGCGACAAGAACCTGTTCTGCCAAAGTACGAAATGATATTTAATTTTTATTGTTGTCATTTACATATTATTATGTCGCAAATTTGAAGACACCGAGCACAAATAAATACCGTTCTCTTTGTGGTATGGTAATCGTTTTTTGCATGAAAAACGAAACAGCGCAGCTACAATTGTTTAATTAATACGATAAGGTTAGAGTTATTCGTGCTCAGGTTGTAAAAGTTATTCGATGATTGAAGAAAAAACAACAAACTACTGAAAAACAAAACAAAACCTTACACAATTCGTTTTCTTTTCTCTATTTCAAGTTATAATATTCTGAAAAACAACTTCTCAACATAAATCTACATTATTCCTTGGTTTCAGTGTAAAGGAAGTGACTGTGCGGCCAATGTAAGACTATTATAATTGATTTACTTAATTATAAAAACTGGTGGTTACGGCAAAGAAATATGTAAAAACAGAAACTTATTAGTAGGATACATTATGAAGACTTTAGTAAATTGTACCTAATAAGTATTTATATTTATTAGGTTGGTAATGTTGACATTGACAGAACTGTGTAATTTATTGGTGTAACCCACTAATATACTCTTATTTATTAGTGTACGGGCACTATGGCCGATGCAGAGGTAAGATTGTTAACTTCATCATACATTATATTGACATAATATATTATTGGTTACTTGTCAAATATTTATGCATGCGTTTAGAAAGGACAATGGACCTTAAATTTAAAAACCCCAACATGAAAATATTCGTTTGAAGTAAAATTATCTTTAAAAATATGTACACCATTTATAACAAATTATTGTCCATGAATAATTTCGTGGCTTTAGAAATCAGAAATATCTATACTAATATTATAAAGCTGAAGAGTTTGTTTGTTTGTTTGTTGTCTTGAACGCGCTAATCTCAGGAACTACTGGTCCGATTTGAAATATTATTTCAGTTTTAAAAAGCCTATTTGACGAGGAAGGGTATAGGCTATATATCATAACGCTAAGACTAATAGGAGCGGAGCACCAATGAAGAATGTTTCAAAATCTGAGGATTTTTTTCCTTTTGAGAGCTGCCGCTGCGTATGCTGCGTAAACGGTTAAAGTTTCACAAAAATCATGTATGACAGTATTATTCCCCTTTAAAAGTCCTAAAAAAAAGTCAGCGATAGCATATGTCTATCTTTTAAGGTTGGCTCACAATAACCTTTTTTATGCTAACCAAATCTGTATTAAAATAATGCATTATTTGTGAAGGTGTTTTCATAAACATGATATTAAAGGATTAATATACCAAATAAATAAGTTATTAATCACAAGTATTTAATTTTAAACATACTTGCCCTTTACATCATTCGATTTAAATAAATTTCTTAGAAGATCTCGCAGTTTCAAAATAACATCGCAGTAAAATAATGATTCCGTACTACGCCCGCATTGATGTGTAAAGCCGGCGTGCTGACACGAGGGGGAAAGGGGGGTTAGCTCTGCGAGATACCATGCCCGCAGCGTTGCCAGAATGTTACTTCCATGTTACACCACACTCAATGTTACTTTTATGTTACTTTTGATAATTTCGAACAAAATCGTGTATCGGAACTAGAGATGTGCCGCTGAGAAAGTTCTCGTTCCCGGCAATACTCCCAGTGAGAATATTCTCGAGAACCGAAAACGCTCCCGGGAATATTCTCAGTGTTCTCGACAGAATACTTTTAGTTTTAATTTTAATTTTGTCTTTTATATGTGATATTATTTGTGATGTTTCGATGTTTTATTAACTGGGCGTTAAGACTAGTCGTTATAAACAAGGCATGAAACTTGTGAGTGAGATATTGCTGTCTTGCTCACTCTTTTCGTGGCGAGCGCGTACCGCGGCTTTAGGACTCGGCTACGGTATTTGAACATCAGTGTGCCTCTGAGTTTATGGCCCTTGCCACCCTTGCGGATTGCAAGCGGATTCAAAGCGGATTCAAAGTGGATTTAAAGTGGAGTGGCGACGCGACGGAGAAGCCGCGTCAAAATATCGTAAAGCTTCCGAAAGGCTGCCCAGCCGAGCTGGATTCGATGATTGACTTTTTTTTCAAAGTTGGACCTACCTAACTGGACTGT